GGGCACTGGAGTGGGCGCCATAAATCAACAGGTAAGAGGAGCGTGCGTCCACCTGGGAGAACCTGGCTACCTCTCGCAGTTCATTAACATTAGCCAGCGTGGATTTTTAGAGGCACACGAGGGCAAGGACCTTTGCCATTGCCAAAAGGATAAACAAAAGTTCCTTTGAGGGTCCTTTTCAGAAAGATAATCTTCGCCTTAAGCCTATGTATCTCACAAAGTAATGATGGATTCTTGAGCTTTGAACTCTGAGCCACCACCTGTTGAAGGGTTTGAAGAGCCATTTCCACCGGAAGTGGCTGGAAGTTCGCAACTCCCAGAGTCAGACACATCCGGCGCAACTTTAAGCCGCATTTCCGTTCATGCAATTTTAATTTGTCAAATGCCAGGGAAGCGATGGCAGGGCAGGGAGGACTCCAAAGCGGACGCTTCTAAAATTAACTGGAAAATTTTACAATCCTGGCGAGGCGAGTCGCGGCAGGATTACTGAACAGTTCAGAGCAGGAGTCAGTGTCGGAACGCTGCTGCTGCCGAAATGAGGATGCCGTCGAGCCACTCGAATTGGACCATTAGTTTCGGCGGCATTAGTTTGGCGCTTTCATGGCCCAGACGATGCAGACGAATAAATAAGAGACGAGTAGCGGGAGCCCAGATGGGGCAGGAAGGGCTAGTGGACCTGGTCGGTCGGTCCCCGTGCCGGAATTATGCATGTAATAAAATGCGGCGGCATCGGCAGCAGGAACTGCAACAACCCGTGCGATTCCACGCCCACTCGCCTTTTCCAACTAAATTTAAGTGCATTAACATAAACTGGAATAACAGTGGTCTAAGTTTAAGAAGAAACTAAAATATATTACTTTAAAATCCAAAATTAAATACTTGTCAAGAATAGATATAGAAAGCTACAAGATAAGGCTTACTTTTATTTTAGTTTTAAAATTAAGTTTAATAAGAGTATTTTGTTCCATTGTACCTTCTACCCAAAAAAAGGATAAATAAGCTCCCAAAAAAATAGGGATGGCAGCAAGGATGCTGAACAGCTCTGATGAGTGCAACGACTTGGCAGGAGCACCGCTAAGCGTCAGCATCATCGACACTTTTGGCAGGAAGCGTTCGCGGCCAGGCTCAGACATATAGTTTAGTACATTTTCCCCGCACAGGACATGGCCAGGAAGCTCGTCTCGTCTCGTCTGGTGTCGTCTCTGAGGATGTGTGTGGGTGTGTGAGACATTAACAGACTCGTAAACTGGCAGTTGCTTGTTATGTTGATTACACAACCGCGTGAGCGTGGGACCAAATGAAAATAAAGTTGGCCCAACCAGCCAACCAACCAGCCAGCTTGCACTTGAATGCTCCCAAAATGGAAGGCAGCCATAAAGTATTATTACCCTTTCAAATAAAAAAGTGTTAAACAAGCTAATAGGATGAAAATATTTGGACTTGTTTTAAGAACTCTATTTTAGGCAAAAATATCTTTAGAAACTCCTTAAGCTCTACTTTAAAGTAGGCTAGCTCCAGAAAATGTGCAACACTTGGCGCCATGCCCCCTCCTGTTGGTACGTGCCTGTCAGGGATCACACGCCCCTGCCCAGAACTGTCAGCTGCCCTTTCGGTGGGAAAAGCCGGGAAAAGGAAAAGCCAACCAGAAACTATAATAGAAATAGAAACAGTAGCAAACAAGCAGCAGCAGCCGGAGCAGTAGTGGCAGCGAGAAAAGTCCTGGATTGTGGCAAGAGTTGAAAGTTGAATGTCTGGCAAATGCCGCGGCAATGCCCCCTGAATGCAGTCAGTGAAAATGCAGTTTTCCACCCCCATCACCACCCACACAATTGCCCCTCGGATCTTGTGGGAACTTTTCACACGCAGCACCAAATCTGCCAAAGCCACTTTTCGGTATTGTTTTTTGTAGCTTTTCCAAATTTATTGCAACACTCCTTGGGTCCTATCTTTCCTCCGGCTCCACTGACTTTATCTCTCCACTGTGGGTGTGTGTGGTTCTGTCTGTCAGAGGATATTTATCTGGCACGTTAAGTTTACTTTTTCCCTTCCCTTGGAATCTACTTCCCACATCATACCCAACACCCTACATCTCACACCCATTTCATAATTTTTCGCCTTGCGGCCAAATTGTCGTCTTTATTTGCAGCATGGAAATGCTCAAACACAATTTTCCATTTCCATTCGACTACACACTCACCCACTCCCTCCCCAAGATGAGGGAAAATGGTAAACGCTGCCCGTTGCGAGATTTTCCCGCATGACATTTGCGATTTTCCGCACATTTTGTACTTTATTGAACTGTTTGTCACATGACGTTTAGTATTTTGCGAGCTGCGCCAGCTGCAGGCAAGAGTTCCTCTGCGAAGAAACATTCTGAGATATATAGATTCTATATTACAGATGTAGATATATATATTCAGAATGGAATGTTATCTTTAAAGGTACAGAGTTGCCTCAAAAAGTACCATCCTCTGTGGTAAATATATAGATATTCGGATATTTAAAGAGGAATCTTAAAAGTTACATACTTTATTCGATCAAGTTCCTCTATAGAAGTCTTTTAAAACCTCTCACAAAGCACACCTTTTGAAATATGTAGAATCTACATTGTAGATATATGCCTATTAAGATAGGATTGGATTCTTAAATAGTAAAGCCTTTCTTTTATATATTCCCTCTATTAAAGTTTCCAATATATTGACTTCTATAGTTCCCCAAAAAGAACACCTTTTAAGATATACACATATATCAGAGAGGAATGTAATCTTTAATAGTACTTAACTTTCTTCTACAAATTTTCACTAGAATAGTCTTCTATAGTCTCTCACTAAGGACACTTTCTAAAAGGTTTAGTTTCTTAAAAATTACAGACTTTCTTCTATGGAATCCCTCTATAGTAGTCTTTTATATATTGTCTGCTATAGTAGTGCCTCAAGATCACATTCTGAAACATATAAACATTTGTGTGGATATATGTGTGAAATTTAAAGAAATTGTAACTTAAAAGGTAGACTGTTTCTATACACTAGTTCCTCCTCAATAGTTGTATTATATAGATCCTCCCAAAGATATTCACATCCATTCATAGATATTTCGATATTTAAAGATAAATGTTATCTTTAAAGGTTCAAAGTTGCTTCTGTATATTGTCTCTATAGTTATCTTTTATATATTGTCTTCTATAGATCCTCCCTTCTGCCATTAAACCTTTGCCCCTAAACCTAAATATAACCCTTTGATAAATAATTGAAATATATTCCAACTATAATAGTCCCCCCACAGTTTCGACCCCAAAAATCATTGCTATTTGATACATACAAGTAATAATAGGAAGAAAAGGGGTCACAGCTGACCCCCTTATGGCTAAACCATGTAAACTTGATGAAAATCAAATGGAAATAAAAACGGACGGCGCTCATAAACAATAATATGGCTAGCAGCTAGTGAGCTTTGGAGGGAAACTTTTCGCTTACCGAAAAATAAAAGGAAAAACCAACAAATAAAGGAAAAGAACACACTCCTCCTCCTCATCTAAGAGTGGCAGAGCAACTTAATAAAAACAAAAATGTATGAAATACTTTTACGACTTTCGAAGACATTTTTACAACTTGCTGGCAAGTTTTGCTAACGATATGCGAGATGCAGCCGGGTCTGCAGATGCTGCTGCTGGAACTGGTCCTGATGCAGCCCAAGGACCTCGTTCTCGTCCTCGTCCTCGTCCTGGTCAAATGGATACGTCGCATCATAAAACCGAAAGTCATTTCGCACAGAACGTGTCTACCGAAGCTGAATCCTAGAGACGGGGAATGTCCGGCCAAGAAGCCAAAGTCATCGCAGCCAATAATAATTCCAATTGCAAGTGCAGTGACAATTTTGTGTCCGCTGGGCGTCCTAGGATGTGCTCTTCTTTTGGGCACTTGGGCACTTTTGGGTACAATGTACCCCGCCGAACAATGGTCAGCAGAAGAGCAGCAAAAGCGCACTTTTTATTGCCCAGCGTTGGCATTTTAAGTGCAACAAGCCAGTGGCAAGCAGCGAGGCAGTGGCAGTGGCAACATTATTTGGTCAATGTAGACGACATGACGCGGCCATTAAGAGCAACAAATAAGCAAACAATAACAAGAAGCCGCCACCAGATGAGCCCGGGGAGAAATTAAGAAAAATGCTTAAGCAGCTAAACAAAGTTCCTTAGTTAAAGTCCTTAATATATATACATTCCTTCATGTTGAATATTTAATCTTAGTATCTAAACTGTGATATCAAATAACCATACATAACTGATAGTGTCAAAAAAGGTGTATCTTTGCAAACAAACATGTTTATCTATTGATCAAGTTGGGCATTCCCGGCCGATAATGGTACTCTTTCCTATGAAAACTGATTGCAAATAATCAGAGGCCTCTGTTTTGGCTTTATTTCTAAGCAAGATGGCTAGAATGAGGTATCTATGGATTTCGAACGTCGCCACTTGAAAAATAAAGAGTGCCATGTTCAATAAACAAAAATATAAGAAAACATAATTGAATTACTTAATAATATTCGACGTCGGAACTGGTTGGCTGATAAAATCCCAGAGATTGTCTCGGACTTCTGCCCGGATCTGTCCAACTTTGGAGAAGCTAATTAGCAACTAAAGCGAAATTAAAGCAGAACCGAGCCAAGTCCAGCCAACGACTAATGGCCTTTGTGTTGGCGCTCCAGGGATGGAGGTGCTACAACTAATTAAATGCAATAAGCTATGGCAACTGCTGGACGTGGCAGTGGACGTGGACAGGACGGGCTGGCAGACAGGACAGGTAATGCTGTTGGACGAGTGACAACTTTGTTTTGATGCGCCGGGCATCCTCTTCCGGCATCCTAGACCCCATCGCCCATCCCCCGTTTTAGTTGCAAACTAACGACGAACGCGTTTTAATTTGCACATTAAAGTAATTAGTTTAGCATTAGTTGGCTGCCGTTTGTTTTAATGAGTCGCGGGATTTGAAACGAACGCCACTCACCGCTCTTGAAGGTGGCCATGAGTCTCTCGGAGTCGCCTCCATGCTGGCAGACAAATAAAGACGTATCTAGCAAGTCGCTTGGAGAATATCCCAATAAGCCATGCATCCTGAAAGAGAATAGTACATCGTATTATCTTAAAAGACATCTTAGTTAAAGGGACTCACTTGTCATCCACGTAGGTGAATCGCATGTCCAAGGAGTGCTTGGTAAGGAAAGTACTAGTTCCCAGGGGAATCTCAATGTTTGATGGATGCGGAATGGGTCTGCCAATCGCAATCAGCACTCGCTCGTCCCTGGCATTGACCACCAAGTGTCCAGTGATGTGTATAACCTGCATAACGATTGATGATTAGTGCTGATCCGGTTAGACTGGTACTGGGACTCACCTTGTAGGAGGCACTCTTGATGTTGATGCTCCGGCCTCGATTCGTCAGGGTGCACTTTAGTCGCACAAACAGATCCCGGTGATGGGTGCTGACCCCGGCCTCCTGCCGCTGTTCACCCTTTGTGACCTTGTCGGCAATGTCGCGCTTCAGGCTGAGGGCCTCCTTGATCTCGGCATGGTCGCACTGGTGGGAGTACTCCCAGATCTGTTGACCCAGCGTGTCAATCTGCCAGATAAGAATACAGACATTAGCGGCGAGAACATGGCGCTTCTGGGAAAACACTTACCTTGGAAATGCCAAGATACTCGACCACGTTCTCGGACACATAGGTGATGTCACCCTCGCTGGATAGCACCAGCAGGAATCCGTCCATGGTCTGCTTCAGCAACTGACTGGCTTCGGCTCCGTTTAGCCAATCCTCGTTGCCGATTTCCAACTTGGGCTTGATCTCCTTCTGGTCCTCCGAGGCATCTATGTCCTGCTTGATGGTCTCATTGCAGTCCCGCAAGCTGGGCACTAAAAAAAGGAAGCATTTCTTATTAAAAATCCTTTCAAGACTGGAAAAGTACAAGAATTACTCACCAAACTGCAACATTTCGCGAATCTTGAGCACCGCTATGGTGATCCTCATCACGGAGGCCTTGTCCAGTTGATTGACATCGTCGGTTTTCAGGGGCAGGGCCTGGGAGAGTTCCATAAAGATCTCCGTCTCCTTGGACCGACGACACCTAGCGGCATCCCGTGACTTTTCCTTGCGCTTCTCATTGTTCCTGCAACAACAATAAAAGATGCAATATTTAAATTAGTAAGAGCTCATGGCGATCACGTAGGCCACACATACGTAGGCCGTAGGAAAGGTTAAGAGGATGGGAGAGGCTGGAAGGGAAGGTGCCAGAAATATGCGTGCATTTCAATTCCCATTTGATTGCTTGTGATTCAATTCGCTTGGCCAGAGCTCGCAATTTTCCAATTAAGCGAACCGTGTTGGCAATTTTCGCATTTGCCGCCAGGCCAAGCGAATAAAAAGGCGATCGAAACGGCGCCAAAGTTCACGGCACTAATTGCGAAGAAGTCTACGATCCAAGCACCAAAGTCAACGCTTAAGATCCTGACCTATAGCCAACTATCAATGCTGAAGCACTATCTATAGCTATAGGGTTTATGAAATATGTATGTATACAAGTTTATGAGGCTTCCCAGAATAGCCAGCAGTCACACGTTCGACTGATAAAGCTACCTTGGCACCGATCCCCAAATCGATGGTGGTCTTTGGAATATTTTTGCAGATAATTGACGAAACTTCCCACCGCTCCGATGAGTTGGCAATTAGCAGGTTGGAAGAGTGAGTAAGCTCCAGTTTAGGACAAAATTTTTAATCAACAACGAGGGAGAATGATTTCCGCAAGATCACTGACCTCACACACAGACATAAGTATTCCCAAGAGGAGGAAAATTCAAAGAAAAATTATATGACAGAAAAGTCTGCCAAGAAAATCTCGTGAGCTGCCCCATGCTAGGAAACTAATTAGGGAATTTATCCAAAAGCAACATTATAGAAGAACTCGTGCCTCTTATTATTTTTAAAAACTTGTATAATCCGCGAGACATGCCAATTTTTGCACGTAGCCCTCCCTAGTAGTAGGGGTCTTCTATAAAAATTGCCAAAATTGCATTAATTGTAACCTCAGAAAAGGGCAAACACTATGAAACAGGTGTTATATTACTCAAAATCCCCTTGGCAACATCGCCAAAATGTGAAATATTATTTCTCTGATTTCAATAGTGATCCACCTGTCCGACCAGAACTTGACATATCAGCCGACAAAGGCACTGATATCTCCGGTCTGGCGTTGGTCTAATAAAATATGATACTTTTTAGTTTATCCCGTACAACCATCCCACTCCCCCCAACCCTAAAAAAAATATAATACAAAAGATAATTAAATAAAAATAAAAATCACAATAGAAGTATTGATTAGAAGGCTTTCAATTGTCAATCAGCCTCCATCGGAATGACGGAATGCAGTGGCTTTAGATACCATAGTTATTATATTATATTATTTCAAACGCTATCGCTATTATATATAATGTATATAACTCGATATACAGTAGACCCATAGAAAGCTGACCACTTCGAGTGCATGCTAATGGCCTGCTTAAGATCGGGATGTTGTGGCTCTGGAGGGGTGTGGTGGAGGTGCGATCGGGCCAGTAACAGAAGTAACTATAGCTACTATAGCTACTATAAATATTCAGGCAGTGCCATCAAAATTGCCTTGTTGTGGTTGGCTATTTAGGAGCTATTGTTGTTGCTTAATATTTCCGCTCTCGAACACGGAGAAAAAAATATTAGAGACTTTAAAACATAGAGACTTGGTATTTAAAATATAGTAAATCTTATAAAAATGTACTCAAAGAATTCTTGGAATTAGGAAATATTTAACCACCATATTTATTTTACTGATAAGTCCAACGATTGTGGGTATAATCTTTAGTTCCTATTTAAAATTCTTAAAAATAATTTCTTTTATTTATTCTTTGACCTAAGTGGTGTTTTCCAACAAAAATATATAAAAGCTATATACAAATATACATATATTCTATATACTAAGCTATTAATATTCCTCATAAAAATCATTATGAATGAGAACCACGTTAAAGGCACGTGTATGTTAAGCCTATTATCCTAAAACATGTCTCTTTTTGGCTACTGACCCGGTCTTCTTTGTTTAATTTCCAAAAGCAAGCAATTATTGCGAAATTCGCAACCAAACATGCCGCAATCTCTTGAGAGATATATCAGACATATCCCCCAGATAGACCTTTTAAAATACAATCCAGAGTGTCGAGTTCATGAGGTCAGGGATGTTTAGCAGAGACACCTCCAGAGTCCAGAGTGTGTACTCTGCAAGTGCGTCGTCAGCTTCAGCTTCAGCTCTGGCTCATTAGCATGGCGATGGGGGAGCACAGATTTGGAATAAAAGCGTCCAAAACGTAAATAAACTGAAATAAACAGACGACAGGACAGACCAAGGGGACCATTTGATTTCCGGGCACGTTGCAGGTTAAGCTTACAGCTCGCAACTGCGTCAATCATTTGCAAATCACTACTGATCAGAGTTATATAGAAAAGCACCTCTTGAGGGGTTTCTTTTGGGAAATACCCAGCATAAAGTCATCGGTAAAGTCAGATAAGAGTTACAACTACAAGCCAACTGCCGCCAAACAATCTTCAAGTTTTATTCACTAGATTGCCATTTATTGAAAAAGAGAACCAAAGTCGCTGAAGAGAATACTCTGAGATACTACCTCATGTGTACTACTGTTGGGCGAAACCCATAGAGAACCTTGACTCATTCTCACCTTCTCCTCGCCATTCTCTGCCCTCTGGTTATCTCCTCGGCCGTATCTAAATATTATTATAAAAGGCGATCCACAAATAAGCATAGATAAGATCCCACGACGTTTACTTTGGACTACGGCGGATTTTACAGTGGAGACAGCACTTTTGGGTTTGGGTTTCTACGCCCCCTACACCCCCTAGGTTTCTAGATCTTAAGAATACCTCCCCATGTTTGGATGGAAATATCACTACTCACATAAAGTCCTCAATATCGACAAACTGAGAAAATTGGCAAGCTTCGGTATTGTTGGGAGTATATCCATAGCAGTAGGAATAGCTCCAGGGACGACTTTCGCGACAGGGCGTGGCCACCGACAGGAGGCTGCCCCTTTGGCGGTAAAAGTCGTGATGCTGCTGTGGGTGCTGCGGCTGTGGCTGCTGGTACGGATGGTACCGGTTCATACCAGCTTGGCCATTGGGCCCCAACATGGCACCCACGAATGTGGGCTGCGGCTGCCTGGCACTCATGAACGAGCCATTGCCAAAGTTCACCGAGGGTTCATTAATCGGGTTACGACCGAAAACCGAGCCATGGTTCAGCGGCTGTGGCGGCTGCGGCTTGTAATCGCACTCGAAAAAGTTACAGGAGGCGACCGAGGGATCCTCCCCATAGAAGGAGTTATCGCCAGTGCAGGAGACATCGCAGCCCTCCCAGGAGTTGTACATATTTTGCGCCGTTTCTTTCGCTGGAATCCGGCTAATCCCATCGAGGGACACACGCTCGGCACACGCGGTATCTCCAGCTGTTATCGTCCAGAACCGAAGACTTTATTTTGATTTCAAACACAAGCACTTTACGATTTGGTAACTGCAGTGACTGAGGTAACGGTGGCGACGACGGCAAACACTATGACCGGGAGTTCGGTGGTAATTGAGCGAAAGGTTCTATGCCTTGGCAGCGATCATATTTATACCCAAACCAGGCTACCCATACCGAAAAAAATGGCAATAAAAGTTAGTAGAGAGAGTGCCGAGAGAGTCAGACATTAACGTCAGATTCCGTGTGCTATCAGACAAGTTTGCCTATCCGGAGCCCGGACTGGGTGCTCTGATAAGATAAAGTTCCGCCTCGAAAACATTCAACTCGACTCGACCGGGCAGGCAGGGAGCTAGAGGTTCGGTGCTGGCCAATTGGACGGTATCAGTTGGGCCTGTGCCATGAGTGGCAGATTCAAATTAGAGGCTTATAAATTATGTCAGTGTGCTCCACTTCAGCTGGTAATTACGGCCAGTATCTCGTAGTATACTTTTCAGCGCACACGACTAATTCTGCACGTCCTGCGGGCTTCGATTTTATATGACTCACTCCCCTGCAGTATGGCTAGCTCTTTGTTGACTGGCATAAATTAAATAAATCTTGGAAAAGATTCTAGTCTTCTTTGAAGAGAAGACTGATCTCCAAGAGTCTGTTTCTCGGTCGGCCGAGTTCTTATCGCAGAACTATAGCCATAACAACTAAATATTTAGATTAGTTTGGCAAACATGCGATCCGAGGAAAGTGAATCGCGATAGCAGCCAGCCATGTCGAGGTAATCAAAATAATAGTGTAATCGGAGGAGGAAGAGGATGGGAGAGCCGACAGCCCGGGGTCAAGTTAAAAGCTCGGAGATAACCTTTCTGTTTACCTTTATGCTTATGCTACAAATGTCAGTCACAATGTTATAATAATTCAACTCAGCAAGGGTAGTCTTTTCAAGATTAGAATGGTAGCTTGTAAGATTTTTATTGTAATATTTCTTAAAATACTAGCGACTATATAAGGTCTGGTAGTTAGGATTAGGGTTCTTAATCAAAGAATTACATATATTTTAATGAATCTCAAAATACTAGAAACTAAGTATATAAGGTCTGATAGTTAAGTATAGGATTACAAGTTTTTGAAAGATTAATACTATTTCAATCTTTTAAAAATATTAAATTTTATTAGGACTGATAGTTACGGATAGGGTTCTCGATCTTCAGAGTCTCATAAGCAAAATTATAATTTAAAATAATAAATTATAAACCATATAAATATATGGTATAGTTATATATATATATAGTGTAGTATAGTAGAGTCTGATCTTCAGAGTTTCAAAAGGTCTTAAAAGTTAGGATTAGGGTTTTTTAACTTCCGAGTTTCAAAGAAATACAAAAATTGTTTGATATATTAAAAAACCTACAAACTATATAATGCCTGATAGTTAAGTGTAGGGCTCTCGATCTTCACAATTTAAAAGAAATAATAATGAAGGACTAGTTCCAATTCCTTTGGCATTAATTTTCCTGTTAAAAAGTCACTTCATTATAAAATTTTAATCTCTTTTCAGCAACAGGAGGTCCTTTTTTAGACAAGGAGGGTCCCCTTTGTTCTTCAACAATGAGATCTTTTTGTAAGACCTACCCAAAGATATAAATATCTAAAAACAGGTTGGGTGGGATATCACAGACCTCAAAAAAATAAAGCTTTGCGCAATTTTAAAAAATAAAAATAAATATCTTATATGACACTTTAACTAATAAATTAAGACTTTCGCTGGCAGCAAGAAAAAAAGAACCATAATTTACACCATATGGGAGCGTTATAAGGTCCATGGTCCATTTGTATCTGAAAGATTGAAAGAGATTCGGAAGCTGCGTTGGCTGCTTTCCGTCTCTGTCTTCCGCCTCTTGGCATCTCGCTCGCTGCATTGAGTTCAATTCCCTACACTTGGAGAAACAACTAATGAGGTTAAAGGTTGACCTGATAACGATATAAATAAATATTTTTGTTATTTTTTTCACTGTATAGTAGCAGCCAAAACAAAAACAAGACTTTCGAATGAAAATCAACAATAACTCCAAAAGACTAATATGGGGGCTATATACACACACACACACACCATATGGCATCTCTTTCTTGCTTACTCTCCCCCTCTATCACCACCTCTCTTTCTCCCTTGATAAACCCGCCCCCTGCGGGTGTGTTGCCAGCCTCCCCGTGTCCCCGTGTCGTCACATTTTTAGTTCGATTGCGCAAAAAGTAGGTCGTTGTGGCCAGACAGAAGGCAAAAACAACAACAAACATATAAACAACAATAGCAACAACAACATGGCATATCATTTAAATATTTTACAATACACACACACATGCATTATGCCTTGAATGAGTGTATGTGTAAGCGTGCGTTTGTTTGCGTTAATATTGAAATTTATTTATTGTTCGAGTTGTTTTTTTTTTTTTTTTTAAGTTTTTATTTTTTAATTCAAGAGCTTCGGTGCTCGAGGTCCACGCAGTTTATGAAACTAATTTAAAAACAAGACATAATTTTTGATTCAGATTCTTGCCTCCCTCTAGATTTATTGAGGTCAGGTTCTACAATCGAAAATAATATCATAATACACAACTACCTTAAGTTTCAGCTCAAATAGTGGTCGTTTTTTATGCAAACTTTCACCTGCTTTTGGGCCCGAAATCAAAGCCAATTGTTTGCCCTGAGCTTACAACCGGCCAATGTACTCGAACCAGTTGGTAGTAAATGGAAAATTGCCGCCAAGAGTCGGTCAGTGGATCGAACACTTTGAATATATGGCTATAGAACCGCTTTTCAGCTTTTCAGTTTTCCAGTTAGAGTCGTAAGTGGTTTATTTAAGCGTCACGTAGACCAGTGGAAATCCGTTTCAATTTCATGTAAATATTTTCGGTTTTTTTCTTAAAAATAAAAACATAAACTATGTAGTTTATGGGTTGATAAATAAATTTTGGACTTTAAGGGGCGTGGGGGGTCTCTGATAAACGGAATCCAACAAGCCGAAAAACAGGTTGTGGAGCAAGAGAGACGGCAATATATTCAAACATAACAGGTTTATTGTTTTTTCCTGATTTTGTTTTTTTTACAAAATAACCCAACATGCGTAAAAAACGCACTTGGAAGAACAATGCACTTGGCTAAAAATAGCTCAAGATAAAAAGGAGGCTTGTCCTTATAGAGGCAGAGTATATATCCCCTAAGGACTAAGCAACAAGTGGCTTCTGGTATCGTTTCTCTCTGAGAGTACCTTTTATTTGTGTTTATTTTTTTACTATTTACTCCATCATAGAGCTGGAGAAAACATCGACGATGTATCGATACATCGATGTTTTCTGAAACTCGAGAAACATCGAAGTTTTCAAACATCGATGTTCGATGTTTCCTCTTTACTCATCACTTCTTGGCTGGTATTTGGTAAGTGCACCAAAAATTATTATCAATTAAATGAAATAAACTTAACAATAAAATTGTTAAGTAATAAACAATAAAAGACTAATCTATAATTAGTCATAAAAAATGACTGGATTTAAATTAATTTTAATTTTATTTTTTCGCTTTTTTTTTTTTATTTGTTTTAGATTTTTTTTTTAGAACTTGTAGCTGCTTTATATTTTTGTTTCAATTGTTTTTTCATTTTAAGTTTTGTGTTCTATGAAAGACTAGCTTTAAGTTTCATTTTTAATACAAGAGTAGTATTTAAGAGCCATTTTGAATTTTGAAATATTATTAAACTATGGATCTTACACAAAGCGTAATTTTTTATAAATATATTACACTTTTTATTCATTTATTTTTAATAAATAAATATATTTTAATATAATATGGTGTGGTAAATTTTTTTAAGTGCACCCTAAGAAAGTTCGATGTATCGCGATACATCGATGTTTTTTTCTGAAAAACATCGAAACATCGATGTAGGTGAACATCGATGATTTTCCAGCTCTACTCCATCATATCATATTCCATTACGGAAACCGATTCCATGCATATGCAAACTGTGTCTCGACTTTTGTCTTTGACTTTTCCAAGGTCGTGGGTCTGGGTCGTTGCTAGCTCTTTTCCTCCTTCGGCCTGCTGCTATTTGGCTCTCGCTCTCACCCAGTCTAGTCGCCAAGTTCGAATAATAATTACCGTGAATGCAAAAATTAGTCAAACGCGTGATTAATGATTCGGTTTTCAATATATTTCATTCCCTAGCCACCCTATTACTGAGCTCTCTCTTTTTCGTCATTTAGTGACGTCCGTAAAGGGGAAGCTATTGAAATATATAGATACCTGGAGAGTATACAATATAGGATATGATTATATTGTTATGAATAAGGAAGGGTAGATTTCTTGTAACCTTTTTTCTTGAATAAAAAAAGATAAAATAAAGGATGAAGGCTTAGGATATTTATAAATAAGGTGTCTGAAGGAAAAACTATAGTATTCTTCTGAGATAAACATAATATATTTGGAATAATAAAACCTTATAATATTTATGTATGTTTGTATCTATATCAGTCTGAGAATTAAATCTTATCTACCTTGAATACCTGAAAATGAGAAGAAAAAACATATCATAAGAAAAAAATAAGTATCTGAACAATTCATAAGTATCTGAAGAAAGTTTTATTCATATTCCCTACTAATAATCATTGATATTACTAACTATTTTTGGTTTTTAATTCATTTTTAGTACAAATATAAATATATTGTATTGACATTGTATGTATATAAAAACAAAGTATAATTCACTCATAGTCACCAGGGAAGTTACATAAAGCGAGTTATGTATTACTAGGCCATTTAAGAAATATTCTTATAATTCTTTAACAAAAACCTCATAGAGGTATCTGTACTATTATTATATCTGCACATGAATAACCTAAAAGATACCTTTTTTATAAGAAAAAAGAAAAAAGAGCTAGATGAATAACCTGAAGGATCCCCTATATCCTAAGGATACTTTTTCACTATTGTTAAATACATCTTTTTAAGAACAAACTGAAGGATATCTTATATAAAGCATTTTAATATTATTCTATATTTTAAAGAACAACCTGAGGGATTCCTTATATAGGGCTTTATATAACAAATATTTCTTCTTAAGAACAACCTGAAGGAGACAACCCTTATAGGGCTTTTTACTATTACATATTTTATATTTTATTTTTATTTATTTATTTTTATATCTTCATTAAAACGACCTAAAGGATACCCATGTACAAGGCTCTTTATTATCATAAAAAGTATCTATCTACTCAAGAATCACCCAAAATATAACCAGAAACCACTTGACGCCCGCTGCGAAGTCGCAGCAGCAGTAGCAGCCGCAGCAGCAGCGGTGGGTAAGCGAAGAGGAAGCAGAAAAAGAAAGCAAACGCTTATGCAATAAGCCAACCTCTGATCTAAAAAAGATCCAATAGAGAATGATAGGGTGGGGTATAGGGACTCCAGACCATTAGGGACACAACCAACATCTAGATCTATGACTCACCTGCGTTTCTCCTTGGGCTTTCCGCTGGCCGTGAGGTTCGATTTGACCAGGACGGGTGATCCGGATCCAGAGGAAGATGGCGAGGGGGTGGTCGATGAGGAGGGTGAGGAGGTGGATGCAGCAATTGCCGACTGCTTTTGCTTTTGAGCCTCTGCTGCTGCGTCTATTGTATCAATTAGGGAAACCATTTTCTCGTTAGAGATCCAAAATCAGCATAGAAACATTCAAGATCTGTCGATGTGGAGGTTCCTGTTGTTTGTTGTTGTTTTTCACTTGTTTTTTTTCTTTTTTGTTTTTTTGTTTTTCTTATCGGGGAGTTTTCCAGCACTTTTTGAGACTCTTCGTTGCTGTTGTTGTTGTGTGTTATTGTGTATTATATTATCGCTATTACTTTTTCGTTATTTTTTTTATGAAAACTAGTTATGCGCGTGTATGGGTCGTGTATGGTTGTATTGGTGGAACACACTTTCGGACACACAGGCACTCACTAACACACACTTTTTGTTTTCCTTGAAAATTGGTAATTATTGAACTTTACACTTATTGGAATGGCCTCTTTTTTAGCCGTCTAGTAATATTCCTTTAATTTCGAATCACAAAACAACTGGCACAGCACAAGGTTATTCGTTTATTCGGATTTTGTTGTTGTTTTCTAGTCTCAACAGGCCAATTGCACTTTGGTATTTATTCGATTCGTCGAGTATTGTTATTGCACTTTAAAGTTTTGCGTTAGTTTTCGGTTATATTTGCGTTGTAGCACCTCACATACGCGATTTATGTGCACTTTATGCATTTTACAATGCGCCTACAGCATTTTTTCGTCCCGAAATATTAATACGCTTTTATTTTTCACTTCCTTTAGTTCGCTTCTTCGTAAACAGTGTGACTGTGGGAGGGAGAAAATACCAAAGTCAGCTGTTAACGCATCGCTCAATATACCAAAACAAACAAACTAGCTTCACCGTACAGTAAAAATTACTTTTAATGAATTTTTTCATTTTTATTCATGAAATTAACAGAATCAAGAAATGATAGCCACTTCTTTTATTTAATTAACATTTTCATTATAAATTTGAAAAAATCATGGCTGAAGTATGATAACTATGACAAGGTTTATTTATTTTGTACGAAGTCACACCTAGCCCTTATCGTTTAAGTAACTCTAACGCGAAATGATTCCCACCTATTGCTTCGCAACCACTGAGGTACTATTGGGTCCAGCCAATACTTCTGTGGGCTCTGGCTCTGGAGCATCGGCCAGTGGGTCTGCGCTCTTGTCACCATCCCCGTCACCCAGTGCACCTCCCAATCCATCCTCGTCGTCATCATCGCCACCAGACTTGTTGTAGACGGTGGGATACCTCTGGAAGCAGTCACGCATCTTGGTGAATGCATCATAGCAATCAGAGCCCTTAGGATCGGCCTTGCTGTACTGGAAACAGGAGAAGGCTTCGCGGAAGTCTACACCACAGGGACCGGTAGCCATGCCTCCTAGGCAGGGACAACTCCAGTTGATGTTACCGTCCTTGGTGATCACTCCTTCTGGCTGCTCCGGTGGGGGTAGTTCGATGGTGCTGGGCGTCGAATGATCCTCCTTGGTGACAAAGCACACCTTATCCTTGCCGTATTCCTTGCAGTAAGACATCTTAAATATTGTGAAATTCTAGGTTACTCGAGGTCCAAAGGGGTCGCGGAAGTTTCGAGCACTTGAAAATGACAGGGCACTCCCTGGTATTGGCCAATCAGAGCTATAGCGATACGAACTCGCTCCAGAAAATCTTCGGGAATCCGGACTAGGAAGCGTCCCTCGTCAGCGCTGAGTTTCAAAAGTTCCAAGTCGGTTTGGCCACCAATTTCGCCAAAGACACTCTCCAGAGAGTTGTGAATACAGCCGTATAGAAATACCTGATTTAAAGTTACTGATTCAGGATCACGGAGTTTTCTGTGAAAACAAAAAAAAAACATGAGTTAACATTCTGATGCACGTGCGCATGTGGAAGATCTATGGGAGGTGATGAAATTTCTTCACCTACAGCTTGACGTCCAGATATTGGTAACCACTCATACTCTTATTGATGAGTTCCCGAATCCCAATGGCTCTCCGAGGGAAAATTTTCTACCGAAGGTTCGGGAAGTAGTCTTAAATGCCGGTCAGTGTGTTTTTTTTATGTAATTATTCCCCTTTCTTCTTTTTCAACAGCTGCTTGAAGTTAGAGTTGCCAACTAGCCGCCTTATCATGTCAGGCTTTGGTATTTTTCCGGTATTTTTTAAAAATGTTACTGCCCGATTGATATTCAAAATTATTTAATTAAAAACGAAATTATTTTAAATTCAGTAAAAATTCACGTTCTTTTTAATTCCATAAAATATTGTAAGCCTAAAATTTGAGAGTTCACCTAAATGTCTACAAATAGTTAATTTTTAAGAAGAGAAGTTTCAAGAAAAACTAATAGTTGTAAATTTTTAGGAATCAAACAAAATTTGTTTTCAATATGTTAGTTCTCATTATTTTTTTCATTCCCGCGTAGCTTTTCAAAATCCAATGCCGTTTTAGAGGTTTCCAACACCTGAAAGTGACAAGGAATTTCCTGGTAATGTCCTATTAGTTCCAAGCAACCACAGGTCATATCGTGCAGTTCCTGGGGCACCCGGAAGATTACCCGCTGTTGCTGTGCACAAAACTTGACAATTTCAAGGGTAAACTTTTCCTCGCAAAAAAAACTATCCAGACTATCGATAATGCAGTTTCGAAAGAGAGACGGTGTTAATACAACTGCATCTGGATCTCGTAGTTTTCTAAAAATATAATCTTTTTAATTTATTTTAAAACTTAAAAAAATTCCACCTTTGTCGCTTACATTTTGATATCGAAGTAGGAATAATCGGTCATGATGGTGTGCTACTAGCCAGTGATCCCTGTGCGCTGGTGGAATTCGGTTCGGGGCGAATGGCAAATAATAGGCGAATGGTAGCGATACTCCGCGCCAATCTTTTGACTAAATTCTTTTGACAAAACGTATAATTTTAGTATCACAAACGAACGAAATAAACAAACTTCAATCTGTGAAACTTTTGACCTGTCAATGGAAAACCTAACGAATGTCCAGGAGGAGGAGGAGGAGGGGCCCTTGAACGTGACGAAGTTGATCGTGAGTGTTGGTTAAGTTTTCTTTTCGTACTTTTATTTTTGATATTTGCATTCCAAGGGTGGTTCCATTACTGCAAAAGATGTTAAGCTTCTCCAGCAAGCCAGCTTGCACACGGTGGAGGCCGTGGCCAACTCCACCAGAAAGCAGTTGATGGCCATACCCGGTCTGGGGGGAGGCAAAGTTGAGCAGATCATTGCGATGGCAACTCGGTTAGTGCCTCTGGGATTCCTTAGCGCTAAGACGTTCTATGAGATGCGAGCCGACGTTGTGCAGCTCACCACAGGATCCAAGGAGCTGGACAAGCTGCTGGGAGGGGGCATCGAAACGGGATCCATTACGGAAATCTTCGGAGAGTTTCGATGCGGAAAGACGCAGATCTGTCACACCTTGGCAGTGACATGCCAACTCCCGATTAGTCAGAAAGGCGGCGAAGGCAAGTGTCTCTACATCGACACGGAAAACACTTTCCGACCGGAGAGACTGTCAGCCATAGCTCAGAGATATAAGCTGAACGAAGCGGAGGTACTGGACAACGTGGCCTGTTCCAGGGCTTACAACTCTGACCAGCAAACCAAGCTCATCCAAATGGCAGCGGGTATGCTCTTTGAATCGAGGTGAGCTCCAGTCTTATACCATTGCGACAGTTCCCTAATGACTTATTCTCTTTTCAGATATGCCGTGGTCATTGTGGACAGCGCCATGGCCCTCTATAGATCAGATTACATAGGCAGGGGCGAACTGGCTGCCCGTCAAAATCATCTTGGTCTGTTTTTGCGGATGCTTCAACGCCTGGCGGATGAGTTTGGAGTGGCGGTGGTTATTACGAATCAGGTCACAGCCTCTGTTGATGCTGTACCTGGCATGTTCGCTGGAGATTCTAAAAAGCCGATTGGAGGGCACATAATGGCGCATGCATCAACAACGCGGCTCTATCTACGGAAAGGCAAAGGAGAAACCCGGATATGCAAGATTTACGATTCGCCCTGTCTACCGGAATCTGAAGCGATGTTTGCTATTCTGCCGGATGGAATTGGAGACGCCAAGGAGAATTGATGAATCTGAGTGAGGAATATCTAATAAGTTTATGTTTTGCATTTGTTACTAATTTTAAAAGATAATCCACTAAAGTCAACTTTTGCCCAAAAAAACATTTAAATATTTTCGAAATGTATGCCATGAGAAACAGTCTCAAAGCTAATTGAATTTAATGTCATCATAAGGTATGATATTTTAGTAGAATGTACCAACTATTTATAATTCATTATTAATCAAAACACTACACACATAGTAAATATATATATGTTTGGGTCAAAAAAGCTGGGGAGGCTGTATGGTGTATGGTCTGCAAAAAAATGTATAGTGAGCAGAACAGGGGTCATATTGTAAACCTAGAAATTAAGCAATAGCACTAGGCATGTCGAACTTCATCCTCCAGAGCTGGGAATCCAAATAGCCCGGGGTTTAACGCTTAAAAGTAACTGAAAATAGAATTGTGTCAGAAATTCCATGTTAGGATTTCCATGGTTTTCCGACCTTAGAATAGAGTGGGACTTGCGGTGCTTGTCCTTAAACACTGATCATTTACTGTTGGGCGGCAGCTGTAGAAGCCGCGCTCTCTTTGGCTACAACCAAGTTGTTGTAACCACTTTCGCTCATCGTTACCCGAAGATTTTCGTTCATGTTTTTCGTATAATTCTTGTAAATACGAACTTTCTCACAAAAGTCTACCCAAAAATTGTCCTCTTGCTCCGGTAGGGGAGCGAATAGAGCCTTGAAGCTGTCATAGATACCGGTGGAAACTTTGCGAATAATTTGTGCCTTTTCCTTGAACTCCATTTCGTCTGTGGAGTTCATCTTCCAGAGCTCTAGGTTGCCCACGTACCTCCGCAATCTTCGCATAATGTCGACACATTCTGGGTTCCGCAACAGCATAAGTCTAGTTAAATCCACTTCTTTAAACTGTTCCAGAATCTCAAGGCATTTCCCAACATTAGCTCTCCTCAGCCCTAAGCATTCCCGAAGCTGTTGGGAGAGTGTGATAAAGTCGCGTTCCATAAACAGGCCGTCCTCGTGCTCAATTAGTTCCTCAATGAAGCGCATGGCCTCCAGTTTGGGGATTTCGTTCCGAGTCGGTTCAACAACTATCCTTTCGGGCATAGACTCTGGCTCCAGCTGCCCACTTTCCAGTTTTAGTTTCAGCTCGTGGGCTTCTTCCCGGGACTTCTCGACCCAGGCCTTCTCGGCGGCAGGACTCTCGAAGCGCTCCGGTCTCTGATAGTTGATGTTGATTCCTAAACACTTTGCCGTGGGTAAGTACACCATAAGTAAGTCGTTCTGAATGTTTTGCTGCAAAAGATGATCCTTATAAACATTCTTAATCATCTATTTGCTAAATATACTCACGTTTGCAGGCTTAGATCGTTTTTGTATGGGGGTAACTGCTGCCGTGGGCTTGGATTTTTTAACCGATTTTTTGGCGCTACTAGAAGCACCAGTGCCAGCTGAAGCGGAGGTGGTCTGAGAAGAATTTAATCCCTCGGCCGGAACTCTTCGCTTAGCTGGCGGTGGTGCATCTGCAGCGGTTGCGTCCTCGCCATCGCCATCCACATGGCGTGGCGGTGCCTTTGACTTTCGCGAACCGGTTTTCTTTTGAGGCTCAGGCGGTGCCGGGGCAGGAGCTGGCGCTGGAGTAGAATCTGCAGCTTCCGCTGTTTCAGGTCTTCTACTTTCTTCTGCCTGTTCCGATTGCTTGTCGGTTGTTGGCGGTTCTTCGGCGGCAGCTGCTTCCTCCCCACCGGACAAATCGATTGGCGCGGAATCTTCGCCACGCAGGGCGCTCTCTATTTGGTCAATGGCTTCACTGAACTTGGCGCGTTTCATGTTCCTGTCAGTGGCGAACTTATCCTTGTTCCCTACGTAGGCGAACAAGTCCTCCAATTTAATATTTGCCGTCTCCCCCGTCCCATAGAAGTAAACATTGTACTTTTTGTTGTTGCACTTGGTGATCTTCGCGGGCCACGCCGGATAACCCTTGACCTTGGCAAACACAAGGTCTCCAATATTGAAAGTCTTGGCAGCCTTTTCCTTGCCCATTGCCGTTGCGAAGTTGGTTGTTGTGGATGGCGTGGAATTCCAAATTATTTGTTTTTAACCAATTTGTGGCGTCTGTTCCGTCTCGCGCTTTTTCTTATCGATAAATTCTTGTTATCGATAGCTATAAAAATACATCGCATAAATGTGTGGCAAGGCTGTCCCGGCCTTGCCAGAATATGAAACATTGAAATCGAAATTTAAAAAAAAAAAACCCGTTACTAAATGTTTTCCAAATTATAATTCATTTAAATAACTCAGAAACATTTTGAATCATAATATTTTAATATTTATCCTTGTTATTATTTTTAATATACAAAGCCAATTCTAGAAAGGAGTCAAATTTCAGTCAAACTACAAACATTTCCTTCCGCAAAATACCGATTAAAAAATAGAATCTTTCTTTTCGAAAAAAGTAAAAATAGTGCTGTCCGCGGCATGTCTCTTGTACATACATGTAATTTTGAACATTTGTCAAGTTAAACGCAATTGAACCGATTAACCCAGCTGTCGAATTAGACAGGCGAAAACCCGGTGCAGGCGATAGCCCGCTGCTGGCACAGACCACAGGTGGGAGTTCGTTGGCAGGCGAATCCCATTTCCACCTCAGCTCACCCACACATAACACCTTTACGCACCTCTGGGCCGCCGCAGCACAACTCACCACATCAACTGAATATATTTTCGAAGGCATTTCACTCTATGTCGCTCAGTCGCCGCTTGTTTGCCAAAAAGAATAGAATCGTTCCCCCTCTCGAATATCCAAAAAAACTTCAGTTTGTTTACCCACCGCATCGGAGATCAACCGAAAAATAGTCTTCGTATTCTGGACTGGAATCTGAGGAATTTCTTTATTGCCGAGCGTAAATTCTTGAATAAGTGGCGCGAATTTTTGGGAACATAAACAAAATGCAGGAGTTAATAGTTGGAGGCGGCGGAATCATTTCCTATGCTAATGAGAATGTCGAGAACGAGAATTGCCAAAAGTGAGTCATTTGCACGCATATATTTAAAAGTACTCTCTCCTCCTAATATGTTTGCGGTCGCCACCTGAGCTACATTTAGTTAATTACAAACAAATTACATATTATTGTCAAGGTCGTTGGGTGATGTCACCCAAGCCGGACCTTTGTTGTTGCCTGACAGCTTGTCGTAAGCTCGAAATTAATTAGTTTAATGGTATCCATTACACAGACATGCCCTGTTCATATAGCTCATATGTCTAGCTTAGTTTTGGAAATTCTACCTTTCAAATGTCCATATATGCGCATAACACGTCTTGATATTCACAGAGATTTTATGAAATATATAGTCTTGACTTTAACAAGATTGTACTACAATACATATGGTTTACATATATGGATATTTTTGCACTTCTATGGCATCGTTTCATCTTGAAATGATCAGAATTCTTTCGCAACATATGCACCCTAAATTGGCCATATGCGTTTTTCAAAACTTATTTGTTTTTTGAACTAAATTCCATTGCAAATTCCAGCACATTTACAAAAATATGTCTACTTTTAGAAACATGCAAATTTCTATCATGGTCAAATGTTTTCTATTGTCTGATCTATAAAACGCGGAAATCAAATTTGGGGGGAAATTCTGTAAAATAAATTTCGAAATATATTTCTCTTGATTTTAATTATGTCGGAGTCTTTTTTGCCGCATTCTTGGCATTCTTTATCGGAGACCCTGACTCTGACAATTGAATTCAAGGACAGCATAATTGCGAAAATGAAATTAGTCATTTATCTTGGGGGAGACGAAAGTCTGTCTACGAATCTGTCAAAAATTGTTGGCAGCCGAAAGAAACAAATGGTTGCCCCTGAGGTAAAATTTGAATATTTCAAGTTTAAAAATGGTTTAGCTTTAGTATATATTTTAATTTACAATAAAATATCCCTTGATAATCTTTATAGACACCTTAATAAATCCCATTCCATTAACCTAGTTTTCGAAAGAATTCTTTTGTGATTGACAATACGAAAGTAGCCCAAGCAACAAGGATCTTTCACTCTAGTGGATACATAAATAATGAAAATGGTATTCAAAAAAACATCACATCGTATTTGTTGCTTTCTTTTTTGCATTTGGTGATAATTTAAAAAAAAAAAAAAAAGAAGACAAAAACATATTGTCGTCCATAGATGCGGGCGGTGAGAAATATTTTAATTTCGCCTGTTTTCAAATCAAAAACATTTCTGGCGCTGCCGATGCCGATGCCATTCCGGGCTTGGTCTAGTGAAAGTGACCGATGATTAATTTTGGCGCCTTGCCAGCGGAATTTGTGATTATTATTTAATGACGACGAAAAGTCGCCGTAAACATATAATAAAACCAAAAAAAATATTTTTCGTTGACACTTCGAAGACGCCTATACACTTATGTATAAAGATGTTATATAAATCGTAGGTAAATTTATTTAAATTGCCAATATACTTGGTAAATTATTGTTATTTGATTTTAGAAAGGGTTTATTTTAAACTTTGGGAGATGGCTTAGTTTTTAACTTATTATTTTTAAGAGTACCTAACCATTCTATGTAAAAATATCCTCAGTGTCTTAATTTAAACTTACATTCCTCTGTGGACGCTGTTTTTAGAAGCTGAGGTGCTGACAGATGCATGAAAGTGCCAAGGGGGTTCCCATTTGATCTCTGATGACATGGAAAATGACAGGAGGGTGGCCAAAGGGGTTGAAGCATCCTTCCTTCCACTTTGCGCCTAATGACACGGTTGTCTGGCAGCCGTTCAAGTTGATTGATAGAGTCTTTATTTAGTACAAATATAGAACTATATATCTTTAATCGATTTGAAATAGTTTGGAACCAACAGGCCAAGAGGTAGATCACCTCCAATAACACATAATTATGCCATTTTAGTTTGATTTTCGAATTGATCTGTTTGTTTATGCTTTCGGCAACTACCATTATAGATCAATTCTATTTTCATTTCGTGTCCATTTAATATACACTTTGAAAAAAACTAATTATAAACAAATTCCGAGGTGTGCAAATGTGTATTCATGGCATATGTTTATTGTTTGTAGAATCCTACGCAGCGCAAAAACCATGACGTCGCCCAATAAATACGTAGATGATGGTATGGTGTGGGATCTGATGGGATTGGATGGATGGGGATGGGGATGGATTGGGCCGGGCTGGGCGGTGTGGGTGATGTGTTGTTTTTTAGTTTCCATTCACAAAATTACCCAGCCTGGCGGCGGCGGCGGGAACTGTTTCATGTCGACAGCTTTATCCGTACAACGCAAAAAACATACGGAATACCTGCCATTTGTTTGTGCCATTTTTGTGTTTGGCTTAACACCAAAAATACGCTCCTTTGTTCCCATAAGAACATTTCTTATTTTATCGGTTTCTTCAACCCCCAATATCCATTAATACACATTTATTATTAGGGCATCCAAAATGAAACCGAAAACAATATATTTTCGCCCGAGAGAGAACCAGGTGGCGTTCTAATATTGAAAATGAAGAGCTCTTAAAATATATTTATATGTTTTTGAATATAGACCACTTACTAATGATATATTTGTTTTGTTTTCAGAAACTTGAACCTCTTCAAGGTTGAGGAACACACCCCCTATCCGGGCTTGTCGCGCCTGACCCCTTCCCTGATCCTTTGCGGGGCAGCCGCAGTAGTTCCCGCCTACATGGACAAACTGGGTGTGAGCTGTGTCATCAACGTGGCTCCCGAGCTTCCAGACACCCCCCTATCCAGCGACAAGAATATCGTGTATCTGCGCATCAATGCCCAGGATCGATCGCAGGTGGACCTCTCCCAGCACTTTGACGAAGTCGCCGATCTGGTCGAGGAAGTGCGTCTCAGTGGCGGGTGCACCTTGATCCACTGCGTGGCTGGAGTGAGCCGATCTGCCAGCTTATGCTTAGCCTACCTGATGAAGCACTCGGGGATGAGTTTACGGGAGGCCTACAAACACGTCCAGTCTATACGGCCACAGGTGCGACCAAACTCCGGGTTCTTCCAGCAGCTGCGACAGTATGAACTGCAACTGCGGGGAACCAACTCCGTGGAAATGGTGTACTTTGCATCGCTGGACAAGGAGATCCCCGACATCCTTGAGCCCGAGTACAGGGCCATGGAGGACTTCTATCAGCGTTACCGCAGCGCACTGAAGAGGCGATAAACTAAGACATTACTTATTTTGCAAACACCATGTTGCTTGTGATACTTGTCCCCTACAGTAGATTAGAATTTAGTATGCTAAGTGCTTAAGATAACAATGAAATGCTGAACATTATATAAGCCAGTCCATATCATTTTAAGGTTATTTTTAACGTATAATCTGAACAATGAGAACTGTAATTAAAATAAATTAAAATAAACATCGTTTATATGCCAACTTCACAACTTTAATAATTAAAAGGTTTTATTTTCAGTTAAGAACATTGAATTTACATCGTAGTTTTTTCAGTTTAGTATTTTCAATGAATCACAAAGTCACTAGCAAACGAACAACACACTTCTGTTATATAGTATTGTACTGAAGCTATATTATTTACACACGTATTCGTATAGAAACTATCTAACCCGTAACTCGTAGAATGGGCTTTATTAAATGCTCGCGTTGCCTTCAGACACCAAGCCGTAGAAAACTTTGGCAATCGTTGGGGCGGTTGGATCGATATACAGATATGAGGAGGAGGAACACAGCAGGCCTCGCGTAGGATGTGTATGTACATTAAACCCAAAATCTCAGCATCTTAGACCAAACTTAAAGCAATACAAAATTGGCTAGCTAATAGGGCGGCAGTTGCCGTTTGTGTACATTCAGCTTAGATTACTCCCAGAATCTTCCATATTCATTCGAAAACAATAGAAATATATGACTGATGCGGCTCCTACTTAGGCTTATCTAGTTTGCATGCGGCTTAATACGTAGTTGCTTGTGGTGGTAACCAGCCCTATTTACTATTAACCACAGCAATCTGCGGTTGCTCATCAGCTATTAGCTTCTTCAGGTTCTCGTAGGCGGTGTTCATGATTCCCCAGCTGATGAAAGACCTTCCCGTGTTAAAGGCGCATCCACGGTAGAAATTAGCTATGCGGTAGTTGCGCTCCCGGTAAATTCGCTTGCAGGCGGCCCAGCTGCCCTCCGATCGGTGGCCCATCTCACTTTGCAACGACACCTTGATTACGTTTAGCGGGTAGAATATTGTACTAATGCTGGCTCCAATCACTGCGCCCGCCACAAACTCCTGGGCCGTTCGACTGGACACGGATTTCTAAAAAAAGAAAGTAGTTACTATGGCTTGGGGTGCTATATGTCCAGATACTCACTCTTTTTGGCAGTCTTGAACTGGCTTCCTCTCGCAGCACAAAGAAGAATGCATTTGACAATCCGTTTCGCCAAAATACTGGTTCTAATCCCCTGTAGAGCTCCCGGTAGCCATGGTTTGCCACCACATACCTGGAAAGGAATAAATCCCATGATTATATCATAGTTGATTCAATAAATTGTTGCTCAGTCTTTGTTAGCTTTACTGGTTAGCCATTATTATGACACCACTACTTCAAATCACCTGAATGCGTTGGTTGTGTTGGAGAAATGTTGATGGAACTTGGAATCCGCCAGCAGGGTTTGTACTCGCTCGAAGGGCAGGAGAATTGATTCGGCGCTGCCCGCCACCACTCCAGCAATCACTTTGGCACCATAGTCATTCATGTCGTAGTCCTCCACTAAGTACCTTCTGGTGCCATCGAACACGCCGAACATGATGGACAGGGAAATGGTCTTCTGGGCCAGAGGTGGCAGCATTCCGCGGTACAGGAATCCCAATCCCTCGTGTCTTAGCTGGGCAAAGGCGGAGGTGATGGGAACGCCGTGCAGCATTTGCCGGAAAATCATTTTGTAGATGGGGTAGGTGGCTGTTATGTTGACAAAGGCTGCTCCGCATCCGCAGGCGAACTCCTCCCACTGGAAGGCGCCGAAGAAACGCTCCGTAAAAACGCTGGCGGGACGGGGTTCTCCCACACTCTTTCCAGGAGGAGCCATGATGTTTACGGAATGGGCATGAGGTGGAGCTAGTGGATCAGCTGTTTGCACGTCATTTGGCAGAGCGGATTCGGGGTCGCCGTCTCCATCGTCTTTCATGTTGCTAACCTAAAGTGTTTCCTGGTGCGGTTCGAAGAGGGCGCATTCGTCACCTCGTTACCATGTTTCACCGTACAGGTAACCGCACACTCACACACACTGATTTGTGCCCAAGTTTGTTTTGATCACATTGAACGCTTAGAATTATATAATTAAGAACCACGGTATGACGGACAGTGGAGAAATCAGCTGCTTATCGATATCAGTATTTATTAGAGATGGTCGCGTGATTTATTATGGGTTGTAGTAAAATTTTTTAATTTGTTGTAGTAAAATATATTTTATATTGTTTATTATATGTTCTAGCTTTAATGTTGATAACAATCTAAATTGTAAAACACTTTTTCTAACTAGAATTAAGGTAATTAAAGGTTCCAATCAAATTCATTTTAAGAATATGTGTAGAACACTTTTCGGATTTTAAATTAATTAATTATATTTATCAAATAACACGTTTAAGATATCAATAAAGATTTATAAAAACGTTAATAAAACAACAATTGAATTATATATTACAAAAACCTGTATTATTAAAAACAGTATTTTATAAAGTTTATTTTTTTGTCCTATGATGGCCACACTAACGCGCACATGTTGTGTTTGTTGACAAATATCCACAAGCATGTCTCGTAAAAAGTGGACTTCTCTGGACAAACCGCCGCTCTCCGAGCCTGTGCTACAGGTGGTCGAGAGCTTCGGCTTTCAGCAGATGACCCCGGTGCAAACGGCGGCTATCCCCCTGCTGTTGGCCAGAAAAGACGTTTCGGCAGAAGCTGTAACGGGCAGTGGGAAAACGTTGGCTTTCCTCGTGCCTCTGCTGGAAATTCTTCAAAGGCGCCACAAGGAGACGCCATGGGGACCCAAGGAAATCGGAGCACTTATCATCTCACCAACAAGGGAGCTAGCGCGCCAAATATCCGAGGTTCTGGCCAAATTCCTGGAGCACGAGGATCTTGACTATCTGAACCAGCAGCTTATTGTGGGCGGCAATAGCATCGAGGAAGATATAGCCACCTTGCGAAAGGAAACACCCTGCATTCTTGTGTGCACTCCAGGCAGGCTGGAGGATCTGTTCCAGAGGAAGGGCAGTGATCTAAACCTGGCAGCGCGAGTCAAGAGCCTGGAGTTCTTGGTTCTTGACGAGGCTGACCGGTTGCTGGACTTGGGATTCAAGACCAGTGTCAACAATATTCTGGGCTACCTTCCTCGCCAGCGCAGGACAGGACTCTTCTCGGCCACTCAAACCACCGAGGTCACGGATCTGATACGTGCTGGTCTCCGGAATCCCGTTCTGGTTTCTGTTAAAGAAAAAGCCTCCGTCAACACACCCGCCCGGCTGCAGAACTTTTACAAAATCGTCGAGCCAGAAAGAAAGTTCATATCCCTGCTGGAGTTTCTATCCTCTCCAGCTACCCGCACCGGCAAGGTGATGGTGTTCTTTCCCACCTGTGCTTGCGTGGAGTACTGGGCGGAAGCCCTACCACCATTGCTGCCCAAGCGTACGGTTCTGGGTATCCATGGAAAGATGAAGAACAAACGGGCTAATGTGGTTGAAAAGTTCCGAAACGAACCCAATGCTGTGCTACTAAGCACAGATGTCCTGGCACGCGGGTTGGATGTGCCCGAGATCGAATGGGTAGTTCAGTGGGATCCACCATCTACCGCCTCCAGTTTTGTACATCGCGTGGGAAGAACGGCCCGTCAAGGAAACGAGGGAAACGCTTTAGTGTTTCTTCTGCCCAGTGAGGATGCGTATATACACTTCCTCAAAATCAACCAGAAGGTGGAGCTGAATGAGCTGCCCGAGGAGGATGAACCAGCATCCTACGAGCTGCCAGTCGTGCTGAAGAAACTACATCAACAGCAGGCCGCGGATAAGGGTGTCTACGACAAGGGAATGCGGGCTTTTGTGTCGCATGTGCGAGCTTACTCGAAACACGAGTGTAGCGCCATTCTTCGGCTTAAAGATCTGGATCTGGGCAAGATGGCCACCGCTTACGGACTACTCCAGCTGCCCCGTATGCCGGAGTTAAAGAACTACAGTGGAGACGGCTACATAGCGCCCGAATTCGAGGTGGATCTCACCAAAATGACCTACAAGAATGCCCAGAAGGAGCAAGTCCGGCAGCAGAAACTTCAAACTTATGAGGAAACAGGCAGCTGGCCAGGTCAGAAGCTGCACAAGAAACAGACCGAGTCTTGGGATCAAACGAAGAAGGCCAAAATGGACGCCAAGTCGAAGAAGGAACTCCGAAAGGCAAAGAAACAACGAAAGAAGGCGGCTGAAGGAGAGTCGGGGCCCTTGAAGCGAAAAAAGAAGCAGCAGTTTTCTCAAGAGGATCTGGACGAGCTTGCCAGTGACATCCGGCTCTTCAAGCGTCTCAAAAAGAAGAAGATCACCGAAGAGGACTATGAGAAGGCTATGGGTATTGAGGGCGATGATTAATCCTATAGAGGCGTCTATAATTTGTACAATAAAATCTTGTTAGGAAAATCTATATAATTATTTTGTTTAAAGGACATAAATACGAATCAAACTTTATTAGAAAATGGGTGGTGGTAACAAAACATGGATGAGACTTCCTTAACTAAATGAGATTGGAATACGAAACGTAATGGGGTGCCTCCATAACCTAAGCAGTGTTTCCATCGACTACAATCTGGAGGATGATACGACGCTTAGGATCGTACGAAAAGCCGTTGGTGCGGAACAGGTCCGACTCGTAGAAGGGCTTTAGGTTACTAATGTCCAGCTGCTTGGCCCTCTCGATCAGATCCCGCTCCATGATCTCAACGTGCGTGGCTCCGGGGCCGTCCTTGCAACGGATATAGGCCAGCTGGTCGAGGGTAAGTTGGCGGAGAATGAAGAAGAGCAGCTCGGAGTGATCCTTTTGGAAGGCCAGGTACTTCTGGAATGTGTTGCGCATCTTCTTCATCACACTGAACTTCTGGGCTTCGATGAAGCTCTCCAGCATCATGCGGATGGCCATGCTGACGTCCGCCTCCAGGACGTTTTCGCGCAAGTGGATGCGGGCATGGGCCTCGGACATACGGATCACACTCTCAATGTGTCGCACCGTAATGGGCAGCGATCCAGTGGCGAAGGACTCCTGGCGCAGCTGGGCATACATCTTGGCGATCTTGTCCTCATCAATGTTCTGGAAGGATAAAGAATGGTAAGTAGTCTTTCTTTCCCCTTTTGTGACATGGACTTACTGTAAGCTTGGGGCGGATGTTCTCCTTGGCATAAACAATGTATTGGCGCAGGAGATCTTGTGGGATCTCATCGACAGTCTTCAGCTGTGGCTCCTCCATTTCCGGTTGCTCTTCCTCGCTGGGATGGTGCTTCATATGTGAGTGCACCACGAACTTGGCCAGCTGCTGGTCCTGCATGGGATCGAACTCGTCCTTGACCACGCACAGGATATCGAAACGAGATAGGATGGGCTCCGACAAGTTTACATTCTCGGAGAACGTCATGGAAGGATCGTAGCGGCCACCAATGGGATTGGCAGCGGCAATCACCGTGCAGCGAGCCTGAAGAGAGGTGACTATGCCCGCCTTGGATATGGAAATCGATTGCTGTTCCATAGCTTCATGGATAGAGGTCCGATCCTGGTCGTTCATCTTGTCGAACTCGTCAATCAGACAAACTCCCTGATCTGCCAGGACCAAGGCACCAGCTTCCAAGGTCCACTCCCTGGAGACGGGATTGCGACGCACATAGGCCGTCAGACCCACGGCACTGGCTCCCTGGCCGGTTGTGAAAACTGCTCGCGGTGCCACCTTCTCGGTGTACTTGAGGAACTGCGATTTGGCCGTGCCGGGATCTCCACAGATCAGCAGATTAATGTCGCCCCTCACCTTGTGCTTCTCGCCAGGATTCTTGGACTCTCCGCCAAACAAAGCCAAAGCCAAGGCTCGCTTGATGTAATCATGTCCGTAAATAGACGGCGCCATAGAGGCCACAACACGCTCGACGATGCGCGGATCTTTGCTCAACTTCTGGATGGTGGCTATGTCCTCGTCCGTCAGCGACTGCACCACCTGTTTGGAGTCCTTCACGACCACATGATTGGCAATGATCACAGTGGCAAAAACGGGGAATCCCTGATCCGTGTTCAGGGAACCATCGTAATTGTTGGTGTAAATGCCAGTGACCTCCAGCTCATCTCCGGGCTTGCACTGATCGCATAAATCGGCTAGCAGGATGACGTCTTTGCTTCGGGGGATACGTCCAGCGGGAATCCTTCCCGGCGACTCCTGCAGCGTGATCTTCTGGTAATTCCGATACAGCGTCTGTTCCATGTTGATGGAAAAGGGTCCTGTGCTCTGACACTCTGGGCATGATCCTGGCTTGATTTCTGTGTTCTGCGACTGGACAAAGGGACCCAGGACGTAGCCACATTTGACGCAGTCGTACTTGATCACCGACAACTGTGGCAGGACCCCCGTGGTGGCTGTGACTACGCCCAAGGTGCGTACCAACTGGTTTAAATGCAGCTTGCGGAATGTGCGCAGCTCCTCGATAAGCGGAAGCTCGGAAATGCGCACATGGATCTCGGTGGTGACGCGCTCGTAGGTGGGGAAAATGGAGAGAACCATGTCCTTGGCCACTTTGTCGAAGATCTCGAGCATCTGGAAAGGTGCCTCCGGCAGGAAGTAAGCCAGAACGTGCTCCTTGTTGGCCAGATCCGTGTAGGAGACTACGAACGATGATTTGTTCTGCTCGCACATCCGGCGGATGCGATCACGGTAGGTATACGCGCCGCGATCATCGACAAAGGTACGCAGGAAGGACTGGAATCGATTGGCGATCTCGGTGCGCGGTCCCAGCATGCTCACCCACTCCTTGGTGGAGTGTCCCTTAGTATCCTCCAAGTTCTCGATGGACTCGACCATCTCGGCGTCCTCCACCTCACCCACGGCGGCCTTTTCTCCGGCGCGTCTCTTGGCCCGGGGACCCACATCATCCTCATCGTCGGACTGACCAAAGCCCAGCTCACGATCGTCGCGGTGGATGCCAGCGGCACGATCCCGACGCCGCATCTCAGACTCGGCAGCAAAGCGATCGCCCTGCGACATCTCTGAGAAGTCCTCATCATCGAGCATCGCCGGATCGTAGTGGTCCAGTTCCGGCATGGGACGGTAGTCGTTTTCCATATTATCCCCGAACAGCTCCTCCCCATCCTCCTCGTCCTCTTCATTTCGCACAGTCTGATCCCCAAGGATCTCATCCTCGTTTTCGAATGGCTCAAAGTCGCCCACCGGCGAAGTCATCGCGGCTCGCAGTTCCCGGCGATCTACGGCGTCGCTGGGAGTATTTGGCGGCGGAGAGCTAGGATTGTCCATTTCGCGCGTCTGTTTGGCTCGGAATGAGTTTGGAATCTGGGTTCTTTACTTCCGATCTTTTGTTGTGCCGACGCGTGTGAAATGCGCGGGAAAAAGTTACAGTGTTGGAGAAGGATAGTTTATAGTTATAAAAACAACACATGTTATCAATGTTATCGAGCTGAAAAGTTTTGCCGCCCTGGAAACTATTTTATTCAAATAATATGAATCTACAAAAGAGCGTAAATTAAAAATCTTTAAACTTTAAGAAAAGAGAGATGTTTTTAAATTTTATTCAACATTTCCCATATTTAACATTAAATTTTAACAGGAGGTTAACAGAATGTATATCGATATGTATCTCGGCCCGCTCTGTTACCTCTGCTGGACCAGCTGTTTATGTTTCGTTTTGATTTCTCACTCAAGGCGCGTACTGTGAGATACTCTTTCGCAGCGCAAGGCAACGGTCGAAAAGCTTGAGATACACTCGATCGGGCGTTTTGTTTTGTTGTTGGCCAAACGAAAGCGAAAATCGAATACACAAATTTACATAAACTACACATAACCGGGCACTATTATTAAGAGCGAGGAAGTGAAAAATGTGGCCAATAAGAAAAGCGAAAATAACAAAAACAAGTCGAGAGTGAAAAGATGCCCATTTGTTTTCTCTGTGTCGCTGTAGCCGCAGCAGCCGCGGTAGCAGCTGCCAGTATGTATATGTACCGAAAGTGCATCAAATCCCCCAAAGATTCCGAAGATATTAAAAAACAGGGATAGAGTTGTGTAAAAAAAATGGCATCCTCTTACATCCTCCTTTAAAAATCAATTAATAAAATAAAAACTGCCCCGAGGCGAAAATTGGAGAGGTAGCTTCCGGATACGGGACATGAATTCTGGGGGCGTCTGAAAAATCGATTCGGGTTGTAGTTGTAGTACTAAATCGCTACCACAACACTAAATAATCATGGTGCTGAAGCTGAAATTGAAACTAAAGTGTGCTGCGGAAATTCGGTGCTTGCCCGAAATTCTAGGTAACCCAACCACCAAAGGTGCGTCCAGGTGCTACCCTCATTTTTCATGCAAAAATCCAAAACAAATGGTTACCGATGTCAACCACCAAACACACAAGAAAAAAAACAACAAATAACAAAAAAGTCGTAAAAATGGTCGCAACAAATGCAAAGTAAACGTCGCATTTGCTTGAGCTTTTCTTTTTTTGTCGTTTTTTGTTTTGGTTTCGGTTTAGCATCACAATTTTTGCCATTTATTTCGTAACAACTAAACCGAAAATACCTGTTCGACCTACCACACCCCACCCGGTGGCCCCATAAGATGCAATTGTGTTTATGCACTGAAACAAATAAAGTGTATTTTTTAATTAATTATATACTTCAATGTTAATAGGAGACATTAAATATTAAATAAAAAAACTTAATTTAGCGGCCTTCGTTTTTTATATTGCTTAATAAAATAGTATTTTTATTCTACTATATTTTTATAGAGTTTGATTATTTTTATTACCATATATATGTAAATACCCACAAATATTTTTTTGTCAATAAAATTCATATCAATTTTTCCAATTAATCTTATTTTTTTCTGTCTAACTTTCATGGCCATTTCAATGCTCCTTTCTCGACAGAAACTCAAACTCAAATGCCTTTATTGATGTTCCAATTAGGGCTTATTAATATAGATGAGGTACAAAGTTAGAAACGCAGGTTCATTGATTTTGTTTAGCATTTGAGTGCGTCAGCCTCATATTTTCAGGAAGTACTATTATAATTCGTTGCCTGGCACTGGGGAACGAAATAGTATATCCTTGGGAATGGGAATGGGAGTAAGAGTTAATTGTAATCAAACAGGCCACAGTTAGTTGGACTTAAATACTACTTGTAAGTCAGTCATTCGATACCAGCAGCTGGTAAGCACACAACACACTGTGGCAGTACACACTCTACATATTTTCGTGCATACATATGTATGTACATATGTGCCTAAATTAAATTTGCATGTGACTTGGTTTCTAGATGTCTACTTGAGAAAACAAAACTGCTTTCAACCGGCGACAGCTTGACGGCTAAACAAAGTGCTTTAAGCCCAGAGGGATTGTGTTAAGGAGACTATACAATTCCGTTGAGAATGAATCCGATACGAGAAAGTTATTAAAGCTCTATAAGTGGTTGGGTTATCAAGAACTTATAGTAATTAAAGATTCTTGATACGAGCATATTTGATTATATTTATGAGGGCTTTTTCCGTGATTACCCTTCGTTAGAAGCATAATTACTCAAAAAATAGTAAAGTGCAATTGATTTTTAATGTACTTTAGATACAAGATAGTGTACAATCTGTTCAAGATCTATTTCGCTTGTCACTATTCAGTTCTTCCCCATTTCCGCCTTATAAATAGAGCTCCCTCTAAGCAAAACTGTTTCAGTTTATTGAAATTTTTTCGCTGAGCCGCCCGCCGGCGGATTCTATTTTTGTGCCAATTGACACGAGGCCACGGTGGACAGCGAACCGCCCACTTGAAAGGCTCTGGCTCTCGGCTCTCGGACTGCGTTCGGTGCTCCATGCTGCGGGTACGTGCTCCCATCATGCCACCACCCCTCCGGCTTCCGACCCTGCATCTTCCAACCCAGCTTAAATGGTTAGTGAGCCTCCATTGCTAATTAAACTCAAGTGCCAAGTGCCTAAGCGTCGTATACGGAATATATGAATAGCCGAGATCGGAGGCCGTCGCCGTGCAATTGAATTCGCTTACTATTTGCTCAGCTGATTAGCATTCCCATCCACTCGGAATCCCGTTGTGTGTGGATATAGCCTGGATTTCAGAGATTACAAATTCCATTTAAATCAGAAAAGTAAGAAATTAGATTTTGTTTGGGTTGGAATTTTAAAATAATGTCAGATAGACCGATAAAAAGGATTAGCTATAGAGGCATTCCATGTCTAGTACCTTCTGGAAAGGAACCTTTGAGAATACCCTTGGCCTAAAATCTATGGAAGTTTGTAGAAGTCTCCAGTTGTAACTTTAAGTGTTGTAAACCTCATTTTATAGCCAGAATATTAATTCCTTGACATTATAATACAACACGGACCTGATGCCTAATGTCATTTAGCTAGAAATGAATGCATTTCGAGTATTCTGAATAACCCTTGGGCTTTTATTTTATTTCAGATGGCGAGAAAAAGTCGGTGCGACAATAAACACTAGCCAGTTATTGGATCCGGAACTCAAACCAGACGCAAACATGTCGAAAATGAGGGGTAATTGAATCGAGAAACACATCAGACTTTGCTTTGCTAAATCTGCTTTGATGTTCCATGACTACTAGGTCGCATTTTGATTCCACTGCCCAATACCGGAGCGATGGGACGCAAGCGCAACAACTTCTATATGCGCAGCATATTCCTGCTGGCCCTTTGTATTTTTGGGCTTCTCCAGTACCACAACTTCAACTACTGCAAGTAATCCAAAGGCAACTGTGTCTCAAATGCTAAAGGTCTCCTTTTTTTTGTAGTGGACTCACGGGACAATGCGCTGGGGGAGGCGGTCACCAACGACTCTGATGATGCCATCCTGGCCATGGTGCCAGCGCCTCTTCACAAATATCTGACGCCACATACCCGGAATCATACCACTTCGGGTGCCGGAGTTGTCTCTGGAGCGGGTAAGTGGATGAGGACTACAAGGTTTTTTGCAACTGAGAATAAATGTTTGGAAATCCTCCAGCTTTGCTCCTGAATTCAAGTAGTTCGGGAGCAGCAACTGCCACCACAATCAGCTTCGATGTCTACCATCCGCCAAATATCACGGAAATCAAACGCCAGATAATGCGGTACAACGACATGCAGTCGGTGCTCAACGAGGATACCTTTGGCCCTCTACAGAACGACTCTGTGATAATTGTAGTCCAGGTAAGGTGGATCCTCAACAATGATCCTCTACAATGAAATCACATGTTTTTTTTTGTAATATTTTAGGTTCATACAAGGATTACCTATCTGCGCCACTTGATCGTGAGCTTGGCGCAGGCCAAGGATATCTCCAAGGTCTTGTTGGTTTTTTCGCATGACTACTATGACGATGACATCAACGACCTGGTGCAACAGATCGATTTCTGCAAGGTAATGCAGATATTTTATCCATACTCCATTCAGACACATCCGAATGAGTATCCTGGCGTGGATCCCAACGACTGTCCCAGGAATATAAAGAAAGAACAGTAAGTTGGCTTATATATTTTTATTCAATATAAACTAACTCTTTAATTAAACAGAGCCCTCATGGCTAATTGTAATAATGCCATGTTCCCCGATCTTTATGGCCATTATCGGGAGGCAAAGTTTACGCAAACGAAGCATCACTGGATTTGGAAGGCCAATAGGGTATTCAATGAACTAGAAGTAACTCGTTACCATACAGGTATGTATAGATATCAGAGAAGACCAAGGATTATATTAATTCTATTTTAACTGTCCTCCTTGGCAGGCTTGGTCTTGTTCCTAGAAGAGGATCACTATGTGGCCGAAGACTTCCTTTATCTGCTGGCCATGATGCAGCAACGAACCAAAGACTTGTGCCCCCAGTGCAACGTGCTCTCCCTGGGGACCTATCTCAAGACATTCAACTACTACACCTACCACAGCAAGGTGAGATTCGGGTAGAGCCTCCAGACACACTCATTGCTAGATCATTGGCTGCGAAAATTCAGAAAACGCTTGCGGTCTAATCTTGTTTTATATGTCCTTCAAGCTTTCGTTGCTAAAAAACAAATCCACACTTACATATAATCACACTCGGACACACATTCTCACCCATCCGTGATTGAGATATATTGAATGGGTTGCAAACAAAAAAAATGATGCTAAAACCATATGATTATCTTAGACATATATCATTGTACTATTGTAATTTATCATATCTGTATCTGTTCTATTCCGATTCTGACTCCGATTATGACTCTGGCACGCAGACTAACAAGAAATCCTATGCTTCCTCGCTGGTCTCGACAAACAGTTTATTAGGATACAATAGGAATAACAATAGAAACTCTGTGCAATTAGCCGTGTCGTCCTCCTATTCTTCCTCATCATCTGCGCTATCATCAACGTCATCTCTTAGAAATGCCAAAGTCTATGTGGGCGACACCGGTGACTCCAACAAGAACAGCAATCATGCTGCTCTCAATAGCAAGCGGGGCAACCTCATCAACACTGTCACCGCCACCGCCACAGCCACAGCCTCAGCCTCAGCCACAGCCGCCACATCCTCCGACACCTCCAACAATGAGCAAAGTAGCCATAGCAGCAACAAAAATAACGGTGCACAAACATGGAACTATCATGTCCTGCCGTCATTGTATTCCGTCTATCAGAAGGTAGCAACCACCGCCATCGCACCGCCAGTGCCGGGCGATCTAGATCATTCTGATGCAAGACTCTGATCCCGATCCCCAGTAACTGCACCCAGCTAATCCAGCCAATCCAGATCATCCCCAGCCGAGCACTTGCTTGTCCCTCCCCTTCCCCACTTGGCACCCCCGTGTTCAGTAGACTGTTATCTGTTGGCCATTGTTTGTTGCATATTTCATTCATTTATGCTTTCGCAATTATGCATGTTTCGCAATCTATTCTGAGTGTTCCTAAGGGCAGTAATGGGAATATAATAATCTATTATGGTTAAAGGTTTTATTTCCAAGCTGATAATACTATGTACTATCAGTATTTCAAATTAATATGAATATTTGATAAGAAACTTTTGATTTTATTTGTTTTTGTTTATTTTATAAGAAACCTAATCTTAACTTCTTGAAGATCTTAAACTCTCAATATACTTCCCATCACTGCCCAAATTTTGTAAAATTTATGTATCGTTGTGTTTAATTTGTTCTTGTCTATATGTGTCTGTAATGGCATGCCACTCTTCTCCACCCAACCCGACCAACTTCGCTCCAATTTCGCTCCAATCCGATCCGCTCGATTGTAATCTGCCAGGTGCAGGCCCGGGCCCGAGCTCGCACCCTGAAGATCGACCGGCAGAGCATCATCGGTGACTATCGCAAGGTATTTTTGGTATGGTGCCTCTCGAACCCCCAATGATTATTCGGATTTGCACCGCACATGAAACCCAATTAGTGGTTAGTCAAAAAAACAGACCACTCTGATTACTGGCCACTATCTACTGTTCAAATTCACTTTTATAAGCGAATCGATATGAATTAAATTTGCATGCCATCCAATTCTTGTCTCCAACCTCCTCCTAATCAAGTTGTGCAATTTAGTGATTTAAAATAACGTCTAGTACGAGTTACTTAATCGTTTTGTTTTTGTGTTTTTAATAGGTGGAGGTCATGCCGTGGGTCAGTAGCAAGCACAACATGGGTTTCGCCTTCAACCGCACCACCTGGACGAATATCCGGAAGTGCGCCCGGCACTTTTGCACGTACGATGACTACAACTGGGATTGGTCCTTGCAGCACGTTTCCCAACAGTGCTTGCAGCGGAAGCTCCATGCGATGATAGTCAAAGGACCGCGGGTTTTTCATATTGGAGAATGGTAAGAGTACCTATCCCCCTAAAAATCCAAATATCAACAATTATTCTCTTCCAGTGGCGTTCACCACAAGAACAAGAACTGCGAGTCTAACCTGGTGATCTCGAAAGTGCAGCATGTCCTGCGAATAGCTCGCAACTCGCACCAGCTCTTCCCGCGATCTTTAACTCTGACGGTGCCTAGTTTAATCAAAAAGTCGAAGCTACGGAAGGGAAACGGGGGATGGGGAGATCTGCGGGATCACGAGCTGTGCCTAAACATGACTCTGTCTACTAGGTAAAGGTCCTGAGCACCAGGAGCTAAGCCCAGAAAGCAGAAGAAGCGGAAACGAACCATAGTCAGTAGCCAGGAAGTCTAGATCCTAACGTTATTTAAGTAGGGTTATTATAAACATAGTAAGCAAGTACTCCGTATCAGCTAACTAATCGAAACGAAATTAATCAAAGCCGGAAGCCCAAAGATCCTTCGCCTATTGGGCGCTGCACAACTCCTACCATAAGTGAGATAATCCTCTAGTCACTGGCCATATGCCCATTTATATGCATATACATTACATGAATCTGCAGTGTTGTAATCCTTAAACCGTTTGCTCTTCAGTTCCAATGATAATCACATTGTATGGTTTAGGCTCCGTCCAGGATTAAAAACGGATGAATTTCGAGTTCGGAGCGACGGGAAAAACAGTCCTAATCCTAGTAACTGAATAGAAGAGAAAAATATTTAAACTCGTATCCCCAGATTGTGCCGAAACATTTGTAATTGCAGTCAAAATATGGCAGCAAATCGCATAAACTAGTCATAGCAATGTACCATGCACACGCGCATCAACATGTAGATCAAACTTTTTATATATCTTACGATCCTACGTTTTAAGCCTGTAAATAGACGATTGAGTTGTATACATTACATAAGGTATTTTTAATATAAGCACAGAACTAATGTAGTTTGTTATTATTTAAACGTTAGTCCAAAGCGCTTTTATGTATTAGGAACTTTTGATTAATTGAATGAATAATCTTAGCAAAAATAAATGCCAAGTAAATGCTCTAAAAAATAACAGTTTCTAAATTGAAATAAAAGTTTGTTTTTGAATTTGAATTTTATAAGGGCGGGAAACGTGTTTTTATCGCTGAGGAAAGTGTCATCTCTAGAACAAGCAGGCTTGTTTCTATCGATAAACGAATGTTTGTTTTGATATTATGTTGTTTTTGTTTAACAATGTTTGACTCAAAACCCTACTGAACCTAAATTGAATCACAACATTATTTTAGGGGAAATGTCGACTGGCGCCAATTAGCCTGATCAAGACAGGAGCGCACACACCAGCTCGTTCGCTGGCAACCAGCTTTTGCTGTTCGATGAGAGCTTTTGTCGTTCGATAAAAGCTTTTGCCGGGAGTCTTGGTTCTAGCCCCCGAGAGCGGCAATCACTTGCGAACGCGGTGCTGGTGCGGACATTACCTCTTCCAAACAATCAGGATATTGGCTACCCACTGTCCATTAACCCTTGAAAGTCGCGTATTTGTTTGGTGTTCCCTTCGGCGTTTGCGGTGTGTGCGTGTAATCCTCTCAAGCAACCATGAGCAAGCAACTGACTCGACGTGTTGGGCAGCTGAACAAGCTCCTAACCCACGCCACAGCGGCGGCCACGACTGCATCTTCCCACAACAACTACTTCACCTATGTCCGGGAACTGTCGCATCCCATTGACCGGGAGCCTCCGATTGTAAAACCGGAGGAGGCTGTCTCTGTGGTTAAATCTGGTGAGTCCTCCATCATCCTTCAACCCACCCCCTGAACCGGCCTTCTGCCAAGGGGGTGGGGCTTTCATTAATATAAGTATAGAAGCGGGGAGCGGCATTGGCAATCTTTTGTGGGTTATGTAACATATTCTAGTGGGCCTGCTTAGGAAAACAGAGAATGGGGGCAGAAAGCAAGGCATGCAAATATAAACCAAAGAGCACCGTGTGTGTGTAATTGGGCGTTTGTAATTCAAACTACTTTCAAACACATAGAAAAGGGCAATTACAGGGTGTTCAATAGTATAAGGTTTAATGGCAATCCATCAAGTTTACATTTTTGAATAGGTTGGGTCGATTTTGAAGGGTTAACAAATATGTCATGGAAAGACTACCATTTTCTTGTTAAATTATAGAATTATCGTCTTATCTTTTCACACTTCCAGAGAAACAGTGCCAGCTACCCCTATATCTTTATTGTCCACAGTATATATCAATAAAATCATCTAATATATGCACATGATTGCATATATTATGTGTAATTCCGACAGGTTTTATTTCCAGATAGCTATTTCCAGATTAATTAATATGTATACATTCAATTTAGCAAAACAGCTGGGCCTGCTGCTATATAATCATATAAAAATAAATATATTTTTCTTTAGATGAGTTTGCGTGTGAAAGTTGTACTTTGTACCCAAGCGACAGCAGCAGGAAACAACAAAAACAAATGAGAACGCCTGATGCAAAGCTCAGCTTTGAGGCAAGAACTAAGTCATAAACAAGTCTGGCGATACAACCGGCCTTTGATTTTCATGCTATTTCTTTTTTTTTTTGTTTGCTATGTGTTTAATGTACTGATAAGCGACTAGAACTTAGATTTCATTCGGAGGCAGTGTCGTTATGCAACTAATATCAGCAGGTGAACCATAGAGTGTGCGTGTGTTGTCCATGTCATTGAGCGAATTATGGTTTTTTAGTGGAAGAGTCCACAACATAATCAGCACAATCAGCAGAGACACAGAGAGAAATATATTAAATATTCGGTTCTATAATTTTATTAAAATATAAGATAAACTATACAGATATTAGAATAATATTTAGAGGATTTATAGATTTTTAAAGAAAGAATTTTAGAATTATTTCAGTATTTTTTTTTTATCAAATATATGGGTGACCCTCTGATTTTATTGAATTAAATTGCCTTAATTAGGCACTCTCTTTCGATTTTATCAACTTTGTGTGGAACACGCCCACAAACCACCGAAATATCATTATTTCTTAGCACTCCTATGGCCTCTCATCAGCAGCTCCATGCAAATTGATAAACTTGACAGCCCACCAGAATCGGATGGGGAGGCAGGGTCCCCCACCGCCAAACGTCACAGAGCGGCAGTGGACCCCACTAATTTTAGCCCAAAAATCGCAAACACGAGCCAGGCCAAAATCTGCGACGTAATTTGATTTGGAAAACTTTTTCGTGTGGCACGTTTTTGGCAGATAATAACTAGTACAGTACGCACTGGCTAAACAATGTGCAGCTATGATCATTTTGGCCAAGAATTTTTTCCACTTTATTATTTATTATGAAAAGCTCGCGGAAAACTTGACATTGTCGACGTGTCTCAGACGTCTGCAGATAAGAATCCTGCTTATCGTATGATTTCGTGGCCTTAAGGGGCTCGTTAGTTTCCTATTCGCTAAACATTAGACTAGAAAGACCTTTTAAATGCATTGATATTCCGGGCTCCTCAGGAGGGTGTTTGAAAATAGACTGGCAAAAATAATGTGCATCTACTGGGTCATGCCTAGGGTGGACCTGTTGAGCTTTAAAATAATGGAAGATTTGTAGAATCTTATGAATTGGCTTAATTTATATTTTTAATAAGTGCCACCCTAATGTATATATTTGAATTTATATTTCTCTTGATTTTCTTCTGTTTTAATAGCCCCGTTTCAATGTAGGAAATATTTTCTATGTAAATCACATATAGAAACCGGTGTTATTTATTTACAAACATTTATTATCACGAGTTGTTTGCCAATAAGCTCTCTCGCTCAGTTTCCTATCTCAACTTGACCGACCGGCTGCAGATACAGTATATTATATACATTATAAGCTTAAAGCTTTCATGCGAATCTGGTATTTAAAGCTTTGATCGTTCTAAGAGCTGATAGATTCTATAGATGTGATCCGAACGAAAAATACTAAAAGTTCATAGGAGGTTAAGAAATTTAAATGTATTTAAAATATTTGATCAAAAGTCATCTTTTAAAAAAACCGTATATTAGCAAGTGTTTTATAAATAGATCATTTATTTTAAAATTAGGCCACCATGGCCTCAGTTCATGTCATATTATAAAAGATCAACATATCTGTTAGACAATTAACGTCTAATAAAATCCCCCAATATCTTAAGAAATTCTCATCTTAAGATTAACCCAAAATAACTGCACGAATAACTCAATAACGTTAAATTTTATAAACATGCCATATTTAGTAAACTAGAACCCCCTTAATAGGTGAGTCAGGACCTAAGTCATTTCCCTTAAGACACGTTCGATTGATTATCGTTTCATAAAAATGAATGAAAACCTAGCTAATTAGCACCATTGAGTAAAGTTATGGATTAATAAAACTTGCGGTTTCTTTCTTTCTAATCCAGGTGACACGGTGTTTGCTCAGGGTGCTGCAGCCACCCCAGTGGCCTTGCTGAATGCCATGGCCCAGCACGGCAAGTGCAACAACCTGGAGAACGTTAACGTGTGCCACATGCACACTGAGGGCCCGGCGGAATATTGCAAACCCGAATACAAGGACATTTTCCGTTCGAACTCCTTTTTCATGGGCGCCAATGTGCGAAAGGCTGTTGCCGAGGGACGGGGCGACAATGTTCCTATATTTCTGCACGAGATTCCCCAGCTTTTCTACAAAAAGATCGTGAAACCCAATGTGAGCTTCATCCATGTGTCGCCGCCGGATAGACATGGCTTCTGCTCTCTGGGCACCAGCGTGGACTGTGTTCGGGCTGCTCTGCTCAACTCTGAGAAAATTGTTGGTAAGCTTAGATACTTACGATTTCATAAAGATTGAAAGTTTAAATAATTGTATCCTCGCCAGCTCAAATCAACCCGAAAATGCCCCGCACCTTCGGTGACGCGATCATCCATAAATCTCACTTTGATTTGGCCATCGAGGTGTGCGATGATCTGCCGCAGCACGGAACCGGTAAGATTTCGGAAGTTGAGCAGAAGATTGGCAAGCTGATCGCCGAGAACCTTGTCAAGGACGGTGCCACTCTGCAGATGGGTATTGGCAGCATTCCTGACGCCGTTCTTGCCGCCCTGCACAACCACAAGGACCTGGGTATCCACTCCGAGATGTTCGCCAATGGAGTCGTCGATCTCGTGAAGAAGGGTTGCGTCACCAACAGCAAGAAGAAGATGCACCAGGGCCGCATCGTTGGCTCCTTCCTGATTGGAGACCAGCCGCTGTACGACTTTGTCAACGACAACCCCTTCATCGGTAGGCATTGGAACACCAACTAGCTATATAATCGTGGAAGTATTAAATGGTTCTTTCTTGCAGAAATGTACACCATCGATTATGTGAACAACACCAGCATCGTGAAACAGCAGCCCCGTATGACGGCCATCAACAGCTGCATTGAGGTTGACCTGACTGGACAGGTTTGTGCGGACTCGATAGGAACACGTTTCTATTCAGGATTCGGAGGTCAAGTGGACTTCATTCGTGGCGCTGCTGAGGGTCTGGACGGACTCGGCGTACCCATCATTGCGATGCCCTCGTCGACCAACAAGGGCGCTACCAAGATTGTGCCTACACTTCAGCCTGGTGGGTTTCTTGATATCATCTCTTTAAGATCATCTTGTACTAAACTTTATTTGCTTCTGCAGGTGCTGGTGTCGTCACATCTAGGGCTCACGTCCACTACGTGGTCACAGAGCACGGCATTGCCTCGCTGTTCGGAAAGAATGTCCGCCAGCGCATGTACGAGCTCATCCAAATCGCCGCTCCCGACCACCGCGAGGCCCTGGAAAAGGCAGCCTTCGAACGTATCAAGGTGATGCCTAGCCCCAACTAGATACCAACACAGCCATGTCCTGGGGCAGAGTAGTGTAACCAGCAGGCATCTTGAAGGCATTCCCAAAATTGACAAGCTTCATAGGACTGCACATCATCATAATCCTCCAGAACCATTACCAAAAGTCAAAATTATATAGCTGACTAACTTGAAAGAACTGCAATCATGATATATAACCTTTAGAAGTTTACCGAACGTGAAATTCATGTGAAAAATAAAAGTTTTAAAATAGAGAAATGGGATTTTATTGGAATTTAAATGGAATCTGCGTACTAGAAGAAGTTGCAAGAACTTTAAACCCAAAAAGAATATTTGTTTTCAATTGTATTCCGACGACAGTTTATTTTCATACTGCAAAAATATGAAGGAGGCGCGTACAGGAAGTCCGGCTTAGCTTTAGTTTATTATATATACAAATCTGTGCGTTCAAAAGTTGCGTAGAATTCTCTGCAGCAGTCTAATCCCACAATAAAAGGGATAACTTCAAAGACTTTTCGCTTGCAGGAATACACGAACTGAGCACACAACGTTGTCTTTGAAGTGAAAGTTTAAGTGCTGTTCTGCGAAAGGAACTACAAGATAGTATTCTCAGTATGCAGCATCGTACTGTAATATAGGGCCTAAAACTGTTTTTTTTTTCTTTAAAATCTACAGGTGCATAGCTTAAACCTCGATGGATGGGTTGGCGGCTTAACATGCATTTACTTCTTCTTGTTGTTTTTGTTATTTTTTCCATCGGCGGCATTCTCGATCTTGGCGCGCTTCTTTGGGTGCTCATCCTCCTCGTCCTCGGCGACTTCGTCCTCTTCCTCCTCCTCCTCCATGTCGACCACCTCCACATCGTCCTTGATGTTGTGGCCGTGGATGTAGACGGGTCCGTTGCCCTTGAGCAGCTTGAACTCCACCTTGGACTCGTAGAACTCAACATCGGGATTCACGGCGCGCGTCTCGCCGGCCTTGAGAACGGCGATCGGAATTTTCACCGAATCCTTCACTGTGTTAACCTGCGTAAGAGAACAAAGACATTAGATTCGGGCAGATAGATAGATAGATGATTCCGTCACTGCAGCCTACTCGAAGAGGCCATAGATAGTTGTTCACTTGAAGCGATCGCACGCATTTCAGATCTAAACAGGAAGATACAGCGGTTGGCCTACTTTATCGCGCTCTGTCTCTCGAAATGGAAATTCTAATCTCCGTCGGCCGACTACCTCCCCCAAACTGGAACGGTTTGTCTGATAACTGACTCTGCTGCTGCCACCGACGCACTCGACTATAGTCTATATTGAATATTAACCCCGCCGACAGACGGTCGCTTGACCATTCGCCTGCCCACGCTGAAGCGGTTCAGTTCGCCCCGAAAGGCTCTTCCGAGTGCGAATCTAACAAGTGCTCGCTAATTAATAATCATCTGAAGTAACGTGTAGTTTAAGACCTCCTCATATTGGCTTGGAACTAAAGTGCCTGGCGATCTTGTCGGCATGTGCGATAATGAAGGTAAGTGGGGGAGCGCGTCGCCTGAAGAGGATAAGTGAAAGCAGTGTGATTTCCTAAAAACCGAATCAAACTCAATTGATTTTTCGTGAATTTCTTACAAAACTAACAAGCATGTAATTACAAATGAAGCACTCGTGATGGGAAACTCTCCTCCCTTCCAGACTTGACCCAGTCAAGATCTAAACAAAGTGATGATTTATGGCAAATACTCTGTAATTAGACACCAAAAGTCTGCGCCTCAAACGTTATCTTTGAAATGTAGCTGAAATATCAGGGACAGGCTAGCTTCCTCTGAATAAACCTGTCCATCAGACTGTCACAGCCTAAGTTCCTCCCGTTTCAAAGTGCAAATGATAAATACAGAAGATATTAAATAACATAAGCCTCTGCCGGCGACAAACTAGGTAATGAGACAAGATTAAAGTCTTCCCTATCAGGCTTTCCTGGCGTTGGAAATATTTGAAACAATCCAGTTTCCTCCATGTTATTGTTCGAAAGTCACAAGACTTCCTATGAATCAATACACTTCAGGTTTCGATCAGAAGATGCGATTATACGCTTTTATGTATTTTTCACAAAAAATTTCCAATCAAGTAACCCACTTAAACGGCGCTCAAATCAAGATCTACTAGGAGGCCCCATTCCCTGCTAATCAGTTGCTCGATGGCCGATCTATTGCAGATGATCTCTACCGGGAGCGCCTCCCAAACGTTTGCGGGTCGGTGGGTTCCAAGGCCCGAACTTGCTGCAGCATTAGCACCGTTCACAAGTACCTGCCCGTCACCGACTGGCTGCCCAAGTACCAGTGGAGCTTTCTCCCCATGGACCTGGTGGCGGGTCTGACTGTGGGTCTCACTGCCGTGCCCCAGGCCATTGCCTACGGAGCGGTGGCCAATCTCCCACCCGCCTATGGCCTCTACTCGGCATTTATGGGAGGATTCGTGTATATTCTTCTAGGAACATGCAAGGACATCACAGTGGGTGAGTCACCAATAGCTCTAGATTGTGGGCCATTATTGTAACCCAACCCCCTTGAAGGCCCAACTGCCATCATGGCTACCATGGTGCGTCCGTATGTGGATGGTGACCCAGCTTATGCGGTGCTACTCTGCTTCATGTCCGGTTGCATAATATTCGTAATGGGCCTCCTGAATCTGGGAGTTCTGATGCGATTTATCTCCGTGCCGGTGACAACGGGCTTCACCATGGCTGCTGCCATCAGCATTGCCACCGGCCAGGTGAACAGCCTTTTTGGCATCAGCTCCAGTTCGAGTGGCTTCCTCAACAGCTGGATATACTTCTTCGGGCACCTATCCCAGATACGAAGAAATGATGCTATTCTTGGGTGCTGCACTTTGGTGCTCCTACTCCTGATGAGGGTGAGTGATGGTTCTCCCCCATAATCTCTTAGTTAAGGTATCTCTTTATATGTTTCAGCAAGTCAAAGACCTTCCTCTGCCATTTAAAAGTGTCTTGAAGTACATTTCCCTTTCCCGCAATGCTGTGGCGGTGGTCATAGGAATCCTGCTCTGCTATCTACTGAAAAAGGATGGTGTCTTGCCGTTCTTGGTCAGCGGCACCATCCAACCCGGTCTTCCGCCGTTCAAGCCGCCTCCATTTCATACGGAAGACCCCACCACCGGAGCACCAATAAGCTTTGGTGGCATGATTTCAAATGTTGGATCTGCATTGGCGAGCATCCCATTGCTTTCTATTCTGGAGAGCATTGCAGTGGCCAAGGCTTTCTGTAAGACACCCAGATATTATTTTCTAACAAGTTTTAAATAGTCTCCCTCTTCCAGCAAAGGGAAAGGTGCTGGACGCATCCCAGGAGATGATTGCCTTGGGAGTCAGCAATATCCTAAGCAGCTTCTTCTCATCGATGCCGATCACTGGCTCTTTCACGAGGACGGCCATTAATAATGCCAGTGGTGTGAAGACACCTCTAGGGGGCGCAGTTACAGGAGCCATTGTCCTGATGACGCTGGCGTTCCTCACCTCCACCTTCGCCTACATTCCCAAAGCCACCTTGGCGGCCATCATCATAGCAGCCATGTTCTTCATGGTGGAATACGAGACCATTGGGGAGATCTGGCGGGCAAAGAGTGAGTATACTGAAGCCCCTGCCCATCTTATAATATTTAAAACATCAATTCCTGGCAGAACGCGATATGCTTCCGTTTCTGGTAACAGTGTTCACCTGTATATTTTGGACTTTGGAGTACGGAATGGTGGTGGGCATTGTTTTCAACGCCCTCTTCCTGCTCTACAAGAGCATGAAGCCCCAGTTCCACTTGGAAAACGAAAAGGTAGCCACTTCCTAGGTTAATCAATGTCATGGGTTAATGTTTTTGTTATTCCCGACAGTATAATGGAATCGAGTTGACTGTGGCCGACATCAAGGGCAGCGTAGACTATGCGGCAGCCGAATACTTGAAGCTGGCCATTGTCTCGCACGTGACAAATCAAAAAGATACTGCCGCTGCTCCCACACTGGTGGTGATTAAGGGTCACGAGATTGCCTCAATTGATACCACCGTAGCACTGGTAATGCGACTATATTCTTCCCGAAATATGACCTTTATCTTAGTATACACCCCTCCTCTCGTTTAGAACCTCAAATCGCTTCGAGAAGATCTGGCCATGCTGCAGTGCGACCTGGTGTGCTGGAATTGGAGCATTCCGGCGGCGGGAGTGATTTGCCGCATGGACAGAAAGCTGCGCAGCATGTTTAAGTTCTCGAAAAGCTTCGCCGATCTAATGCAAATAATAGCAGACGAAGCGCAAGAATCGTGTGCCAGCATTGCCGTCGAGTTGAGTCAATAAAGTGTATTCTTTTGTCTTGTCATTATGCTAAAGCCACGTACTACCATTCCGCCCGTCATGGCTGGAGGCTCTACAACTACACAAAATAAAATATTTAAAAATTTTACTTAGCTTTTTTAATTTAAAAACTTAACTCACACCAGTAGAATCTAGTTAGTAGGTATATAGGTAGATAATTATTGTTGAGCTCCCTGCCTAATTGCTTCAGAAACCACAGACAAGTATGCCGAGGGGACTGCGTGAAAGTCAATGATATATAGCAGATGTACAGACAAAATTACCCTAACCTATGTATGTGAATGAGTAAAATGAAAAATGCCATCCGTGGAGAGTGGACAGGGGGGGGAAATAAAGGGAAACCGGTCCTTGCCCTGCCGGCAAAAAAAAGTGAAGAATAAAAAAGACCGGCGCGCGCATACACAATTTGAAATTGTGTGCAATTTATGTGCATATTGTCGTGGGATGGGGGACTCACCTCGACCACGTTGAACTCATTCTCCTTGGCCTCGGCGCCCAGCAGAATTTGTTTGATCACCAGCTTCTGTCCGCGGGCGTAATCCTCATCGCAGTCCCACGTCACAACGGTGCCTTCGCCGGTCAGAGTAACTCCTGCAAATTGGAAACATTTTTTATTATACACATATAATTTCCAGACGGAAGTGCGGTAGTCTGGGGCAGACACACTAATTAGCCAGCGGCAACCTTGACTCCAAAAACACCGGCAAGCGTTGCAGACAATTATATTTTTAAGCTACAAATACTACTTCCGCTGATGTTTTTCGATTTCGTCAAGGTGCAGAAGGCTCCAATCTTGCAATTTGTAATTACCATAGAATGATTCCTCAGCCATTGCTGCTATTTTATTAATATTAAGCCAAAGAAACTACCGGGGAACACGTGTTGAGCAAAATCTTTTGCAAAATGGTAGCTGCTCCAGGGTTGCCAGGCGTTGGAATAATTGGTTCTCCGATAGGTTAATGGTGCGATAGGTCTCGAATAAAATAGTGTTTTAAGTCAGCTAAGGAGATAATGTTAGTGGAATGTTAGTGGTTTTGTAAAGTAGATATTTCTGTATTTATTTAGCACTTCCCGAATATATATAAAATGCAAAAATTAATTTTTTTATAAGAATTTGGAAGTAAAAGATTTTTAAATAATTTGCGTTACTATCGAAAAGGCGACCTATCGATAAGCATTCCTGGCTTGAACACCAGCACTACCTAACGCTTCGTATATCTGCAGCCATCGCCGTTTTACGGGCACGTGTAGAAGTACAAAAAGTTTCCACTCTTAATTGACTGTACATCTGTGTCCGAAGGCAAATACAAATGGAATCCGAATCGTTTTATGGTGAGAATTGGCATTATTACATTTTGACGAGGGTACCGTGGACATCCCAAAGGGGAGATTCGTGTGTGCCGCCGTACTTCCAACCGGCATTTGTTCTAATATAGTTTTACTTTTTTTTCCGACTCCATCTACCTTTGACCAGGTGTTACGCTCACCGATAAAGAGCCCATTGCACAGTTCGAAGTTCCTGAAATTCCGGAGGAGTATGTGGTCCACTCCCACAAGCTCATCGTTAAACAGCTAGCCCTCGGGCCCGATGCAAAGTCCGGAGAATTCAACGTGGTGCAGGTGAGAATCGCCGTCAGCTATTATTAATCACTATTTACTAGCCGGTCATAAATCCGTAAACTGGGCCAAATTTTATTTCAATGTATCTGCAAACATGCCTCGAAAATGGTGGCCGCTTGAAGATACTCTCAAAATTTGAAGGCCGCGTCTACCGGCCTGAGACTAAAGCATCTAAAGGCTCACGTCTATACAGATTCATTAGATTTCACACATTTGGCCCAAACAAATAAACATTTGGGTTCTCCAGAAATAGCGTTAAGGTTCCATTTCATTATTTTCACCTTTTTTTTTTGTTTATGGTCACTGTATACTGTTTCATATCTCTATTATTGATAATCTTGCTTATCTGCATTACATTTTTTCCTTTCAAGTCACGTTTTATTGAGAATGTTTTAAAGTTTGTTAGATGTCATTAAAGGCTTTTAGTTCAGAGATTAAATATAACAAATTTAATTAAATCATTCACTGTTTTGTTTCAGGTGGAGACATTCACAAACGAAGATGGTGAGAAGAAGGAGGTGAAGATTCCCATTGCCGTCCTGAAAGCGGGCGAGACCCGTAGCTTAAAGCCAAATATTGAATTCCCCAACGGATCCGTGACTTTCAAGCTGGTGCAGGGCACTGGTCCCGTCTATGTCTGTGGCAAGGTAAATTCAATTATCCCAAATATCGAAATTTATGTTATGAAACAAAAAATGATTGCAGGCGGAGATGAATTTCGGAGAGTTCAACGATGGTGAAATTTACGAAGAGTATTCTGATGAGGAGGAGGACGACAGCGAATTGGAATTCGACGAGGATGCAGCTCCACAGACGAATGGAAAGAGCAATAAAAAGAACTAATATACAACGAAATCCATTAAGCTAACGATATGATAACAAAAAAAAAATCCTGAACGAAAAAATACAAATTTAGTATACAAATCAGAGACAATTCTAATTGATTTTTTTTACTTTATATGGAATTTTATTCATTATGTATAATGTTTGTTAAATTAGGATTTTTTAATACAAAATAATTGTGGCAGTATGAGAAGAATGCTCACGGAAGATAAAAAAATTCGTGCCACCGTTCTTTGTGCTAGTTACAGGCTCGTGCCACTGAGATCTTTTGGCGTGGAACGCTGAAAGAAATAAACCATTCCGTAAATCGGTCTTGAAATCAGGATTCAGATATTAGATATAACTTACCGTATATGAATTACACGACGCCTTTCGTCGCTTGGATGTATGAGGTCCAGTTTCTGACTCCACTCGATCAGCTTCATTTCGTGGCGCAGCTTTTTGCGATCGAAGTACGAAATGACACAACTGATTGGTATCCAAAACACAGCGGTGACAAGGACAACGGCCACTGGAAGGGATAAAAAATTAAATATATTTAAGACTTTTATTCGAATCCTTGCAGGGTCCCCTATAAAATTCGGTAATCATATAAGGCAATATCTTTGCAAATAATAATTATAAAACGGAAAACCTTAAACCGTTTGTAATCGAAATCTCCTTGCGCATCAAAATCTAGAAACGAAATATTTTTCAGATTTTTTGTCAAATTTTCTGTGGGATCCCCTTCAATATTTTGAAAAATGCATAGAACCACAAAATGACCCACAGTTAAAGCCATATCTTTGACAATTTTCATCCGATTCTTGAACGGAATACCTTAAACGATTTGTAGATCGATTCTCCATAAATCTGCGTCAAAATCTGGGAACGAAATATTTTTCAGATTTTTTGACAAAATTTTCTGGTGGATCCCCTTCATAATTTTGAAAAATGCATAGAACCACAAAATGACCCACAGTTAAATCCATATCTTTGACAATTTTCATACGATTCTTAAACGGAATAGCTTAAACGATTTGTAGATCGATTCTCCACAAATCTGTATAAAAATCTGGGAACAAAATATTTTTCAGATTTTTTGTCAAATTTTCTGGGGGATCCCCTTAAAAATTGTGAAAAATGCATGGAAGCACAAAATGACCCACAGTGAAGGCCATATCTTTGACAATTTTTATCCGATTCTTGAACGGAATACCTTAAACGATTTGTAGATCGATTCTCCATAAATCTGCACCAAAATCTGAGAACGAAATATTTTAAAGATTTTTTGTCAAATTTTCTGGGGGATCCCCTTAAAAATTGTGAAAAATGCATAGAACCACAAAATGACCCACAGTTAAAGCCATATCTTTGACAATTTTCATCCGATTCTTGAACGGAATACCTTAAACGATTTGTAGATCGATTCTCCATAAATCTGCGTCAAAATCTGGGAACGAAATATTTTTCAGATTTTTTGACAAAATTTTCTGGTGGATCCCCTTCATAATTTTGAAAAATGCATAGAACCACAAAATGACCCACAGTTAAATCCATATCTTTGACAATTTTCATACGATTCTTAAACGGAATAGCTTAAACGATTTGTAGATCGATTCTCCACAAATCTGTATAAAAATCTGGGAACAAAATATTTTTCAGATTTTTTGTCAAATTTTCTGGGGGATCCCCTTAAAAATTGTGAAAAATGCATGGAAGCACAAAATGACCCACAGTGAAGGCCATATCTTTGACAATTTTTATCCGATTCTTGAACGGAATACCTTAAACGATTTGTAGATCGATTCTCCATAAATCTGCACCAAAATCTGAGAACGAAATATTTTAAAGATTTTTTGTCAAATTTTCTGGGGGATCCCCTTAAAAATTGTGAAAAATGCATAGAAGCACAAAATGACCCACAGTGAAGGCCATATCTTTGACAATTTTCATCCGATTCTTGAACGGAATACCTTAAACGATTTGTAGATCGATAGAATGCATAGGGAGGAAAATATGCCTCATAAAAGACCTCATCTTTTGCATTACTAATCTTGTTTCTCAAGACAGGAAATTAGTTTTCCTTTATGGTTTTGTGTTTAAAGTACTTACTGACAATGTTGTCCTTGAGAAATCTGAGTGTCTTGGCTACGTTAATTTCCTCTATAATATCCCAGAAGCGCTCAACCACATCCTGTATGGTCTTCTCGCAAACGCCCTGTTTGGAAATCGAAATCCAAATAAAATATATGTATCCAATTACGAAGAACCCAACAAAACCCACCTTATTACAGAATCCAGTTATGCAGGGCGTGCCATCAGGCAGGACATCGGGTGGCTCCACCGGAAAGCAGGTTTCGTTGATGCTCATGCGGCAGCAACGCTTGCAGGCATCCGCAATGATGTCGCACATGCAGCTCTGCAGACCCTGGGTCTCGCAATACGGCACACACTTTCCATTCCGGCATTGCCCGCGCTCTTGGCAGATCGTCCCATCCGCCATGGCTGGCGATTTGGGGCACTCGGCATGGGCTCCAGTGCAACGAGCCTCCTGCTCACAAGTGGCGTATTGAGCCTCACGGCACTTCATTCCCGACGCCATAAACTGGCAGTTCTGGCAGCAGGGCGAGTTTTTGTCGCTGCACATGGCACCTTGATTCCGACGCAGCTTGCAGTTCTTGTCGCAGCAGGAGTCGTTGTCCTCGGTTCCCAGCAATCCAGCATCGCACTGCTCGTCGCCTTCCACGCGAAGATTGCCACAGAAGGACTCCTCCGGCTCAGAGAAGCATCTGCCAGATTTGGCCTGCAGAACCTTCCGAATGGATCGTAGGGAACATGGAGAGAATTTCTGAAAGAGATTTGTTTAGTTAAAGAGCTTTATACAAAAGTTATCCAAATAGAAACCTTGTTGTTGACATCATAGCCACTGACGGAGTAGGTGTACATGAGGAAGCTGCCACCCTGGGAAGCACTTGGCGAGCACTCCGGAATATCAGGGTCGTGCTCCGATCCCCAATTGTGTCCAAACTCATGGGCCGTGACCAAATCAGCCTCACGTGTGATGACTCTTTGTCCATAATGATTACGGGAGCTGCTCAATCCGGAGTTCAAGTACAGAGTGTAACCATTTTTAAAGTATTCTATAAAGGGTAAACAAGTTATAAAAAGTTATCGTACAGAAAGGTATTTTAAAGTGCTGAAAACCAAACAAAAGCCAGAATAAAACAAGAGAAACGCAAAGTTATAAGCCAAAATAAAATGAGAAATGTGAGTGAAGTTTTGGGATTAGCAACCTGGAGTGCAAATGCCGCCAACGGAATTGCGACGCGGGGAGCCAACGTAAGCCAAGCCCAGAATGCCGCCTTCGAACTTGAGATCGGTAAAGAGATGGGCTAGGCAGAAGTCTTTGTGGCTGTACTCCCGGGAGAAGACCTACACTTGGCGATAAATCGACGGAGACGGAGCACAGGATTGAAGTAAGAAAGAGCACAAGACAAGAATTAAATGGCCATGAGCAACGGCATCTAAACTAGAACCATGAATATACAAATATGCATTTAACGAACCTCGAGAAGATTGCGCACATCCCACTTCTCTCGGATCATGTTGTAGTGGGCTTCCCCACCGCGCAACCTGGTTGGCTCCGAGTGCACCACTATCTTCTTGATGACGAATCCCATTCCCTTGAAGCCCTCCTGGTCGGAGCGATCCTGCCACACGGTGTCGTTATAGATCTTATGCACCCGATCGATGAGGCTTATCTAGAGGTTAAAAAGAGGCTACAAAAACAGGGATATAACTCTACTGTAACTCCTTACCAAGTAGTTGATTGTGGTCTTGGTGTTACCTCCTCCCATTTCCTGAAAAAATCTATAATCCGCCACCAACAGCAGTGGACACCGAGTTTTGGTTGGAGTGTACTCGTACTGATCCGACTGACGCTTCTGACGCGAGTGGATTTCATTGTCCAACGCATCTTCGCTCTCCTTGTCTTCCAGCTCCAGACCCTCTTTGATGTAGCCACATGTTTTGGGAGTGCCTCCCGCCTCGTCCTTTACATCGGAGGACTTGTAAGCCACCATTGTGTCCTTTTTGGCCTCGGGCAGGTGTCTCCAAGAGGGCTCTATATGGTAGGTTTCATCTGGGAGGTGGATGGACATGGTCATTGTCCCATCCTCAATATGGGCCCTCACTGAAGACTCCAGTTCGCCAAAGACGCGGCCCGAATAGAAGCTATCGTGATCTGTAAGGGTCATGAATGTAGTCAACCGAGTTAAAAATGACAAGGAGTATACATACCCATATGCACCACCGTTTCATTGCCATCCGCATCCACAGCGTAGGCTCGAAATTTGCTATGTAGGACATCCCGATGGGGGTGCAAAATCAACCGGAAGTTCTTCCCCAGAGTGGTGAACTCTACTTCCTTGATGACATTAAAAGGATTTGTGCTGTGTTTGGCTCCTCGTTTGACCACTCTATGGATGACATCGTCCTTGTGGAATATCTCATAGTGGCGAAGCGTTTTTTGTAACGCAACTGAAAATGAATGAAAAACCATCCAGAATGGAAATATAGAGGGTATTTTCGACGTTCCAACTGCTTACCGCAATTTTCGACTAAAAGGCAGGCAAAGAAAACTGAGATTAATGCGAGACCACAGCAGCTAATGAATTTTGTAAACATTTTTCCCCCGCAAAAAATTTTTCTGCATTATTGATTTTTCGGATTCAAGCAGCTGAGCTACGAGTCCTGTAACAGGTTAACAGAATGTCGTTCTTTTTTATTAACAGACTGTTATTCTTCTGGTTCCAGTTCCATATCCGGTTCCGGTTCACCAATGTTATTCATTTGCGGGCTAATTTGAATCTTTTAAAGGACACTTGAAGATGCCAAGGGATAGTCGAAATTTAAATTTAATAACATCATTTCTCAAATAGCCAAATACATAAGCTTTTCGTTTATTTAATAAATAATAATTTAGTAGTTTGTATTTAATGTAGTTTCCCAATTCAAACCAATGCACCAGTTTACCGAGGATCGGCCACCACCGGAATAGGCGCCAGCTTATAATCTACCCCATAGAACTGTCCGTTCAAGGACTTACGCCTTGGCTTGGGCATGCTATAAATAGTATTTAATTAGCTTTGGAATTCAACCTGGCAGACACAATATAACATACTTTGTTGTATTAGAGCCATATATAGAAATAGTCACATATTTGCTGGGAACATTGTTCAAGAAATTCCTATAGCGGCAACGTAGGTAGGGATTTTGGCGAGTAGATAAAACCGCCCTCATGTGCTCCAGCTTGTGCTTGAAGATGGGCAGGATCGTCCAGTTATCGTCGGGCAAGTGAAGAAAATCCTTTGCCGTCTTCTGCTCGGCCTCCTTGCGCTTCTCTTCCTCCGGTTTGAACTCCAGTGCCACCTTGTCGATGTCAAATTTCATAGGCCATGCTGTAAACGGTTCACAAATTGTGTTCTGCATTCTGAATGATTTGAATAAAAAAACGAACTACACTAAAATAAACCGAATCGAAGAACACAATACAAACGCCTGCTTATCATTTATAAGTAGGGGTTGGCCTCCTTATCATACACATTTTAGTAATTTTTAAAATTTTGCTATATTTTATATTTGGCTTAAGTAATTAAATCGTTAAATATGTGTAAAATGTACAAATTCAAATGAGAATAAAGGTCAAAGGACAAAGACAAGAGGACACATTGCATTTTGAACTTAATATTAAAGTTGAAAACTAGCTAAATACTAGCTAGGATTTACATTTTACTTATGCAACTCGGCCATGTTGGCCTCGAAGATGGCCGTGTTGATCTTGTGCTTCAGGGAGATAAGAACCTCTCGGTTGCTAATCGCCCTCATCTCATTGGCCACGTACTCGCCGTATGTGGCAAACTCATCGCGCTGCGCCGGAAGGCTGACAATTGTCGGCGATGGCGGGCTGGGAACATTACCGCCGCCGGCTGGCTTAGGTGTCAGAGGGGTGTTAACTTTCGGCAGTCGCAGGTTGCTCATTGAAATACCAGGAGTCGCTGTCAGCACGCTGCTGGTTGTTCCATTCGCAGAGGATTCCAGGGAGGGTGAAATAATAGTGGAAGTATTATGTGGCGCACTAGTTTCATAATACAGTCTCTTCGGCGGATTCGGATGGAGCTGATGGGGCGTCTCATCATAGTAGGAATCATCATGCGTACTGTTATCCCTTCTTTGGATTTTTATTATTCTAGTGGGCACAGTAACGTGCACAGAATTGCTCCCAGGGTTCTGGCCCGGATTTGACTGGTAGTGTAGTTCTCCACTCTCGTTCGCCTGGAAGCTGACCGTCTCCATTTCCATCAAAGACGGCTGGTGCTGATGCTGGTGATGATCGATAGATTCCGGTTCCTCCGCCTCCTGAAGGTTAACATATCGCACATTTAGGTCTTTATTTATTTTCGGCTTGGCGTCCGAGTCCTCCAGTTCGGGTTCGTCGATGTCATCCACATCTTTGGTTGTCTCTTCTATAAGCTTCTCCAGCTCCTGGGCCCTGCTGCTTGCGTGGCTCTTGCGCATATAATCCTCATTCATGGTAGCTGTATTATTTTGTGCTGGAGTGCTGCTATTGCTGTTGTTATCCGGAGCAACCTCGCCTAAGCCGAACTTCCGGTCGTCGCCTTGCAGATCTGTTTTCAAGCGGCCTTTGGTCGATCGACACGCGTAGGGGGAGCTGAGAAACACTAGGTTCTTGAAGCCAAACCACTTGGAGTTGTAGGGTTCCTTGCGTTTCATGCGACTAATCTCGCGATGGTACTGTGTTCGCAGTGTGTGGAACTTCTTTTCCAGCTCGTTGACGGGGATATTCCCGCCCAGAACCTGACTTACTTCGGTCAGTAGCCGCTGCTTGACGTCCTTCTTTCGGTACTCATCGCAAGTCATATCCCACAGACCTCGGCGACATCGGTACTCACTGATCAGCAGCAGTGTCTTCTCTCGCGTCCACTCCATTTTTAGATCAGCTACTTTATCCGGGGCAAGAACGGTGTCGTCACCAAGGCAGAACAGAACAATGATGGCACCGGCCGGCTCCCTTTGATCGAAAATAAAGAAACGGAACGGAATTAGTGTGCAGTGGTTTTTAATAGCCCGAAGAGTTACCTCGGATCGCAAGGGAATCAGTTGGCTGGGTTTATTTTGGTTACTCCAAAGCAGGACGTTCGTCTAATCGGATGGGCTACGGGGTATGGATTCGTTAATACACAAGTTTAATATAAGTGTTGTTTTGCATTTTCAATGAGTTTTCATAAAGTTACCTCTAATTGGAGAAGTCGATGCTGGCTTTGTTTTGATTAAATTAAAAAGTATTGCATTTTTCTATGAACTTCCGATCAATAGGACACTCCCTTGTATTGGGAAAAATACATAAAACGTGTAGGTGTCTCCAGATAATACAAATAAATATCAAATTCAATTTATGTTTGTTTAAAATCACACAAAAGTGTACAGCTGCTCCCCCCTCGCGTAAAAACAAACGCTGTGTATCTGTATGGCTAGGGTTGCCAGCCCACGGCAAAACGCTTAAGACGGCCAGATCAATCGAAAGTTTAGCTTTTTCCTGCCGTTCTAGCGGGAAAGTTTTTTAATCTTTGGTAACTCTACTTCAAATGACAACAAACAATAACCAAATAAACGCGGAAACTTATATTTTACAATAATTAAACGTTATGGAAGGCAATGTAGGTAAACTGACTGAAGAATCTCGGAAACGCAAGGAAAGGCTGCAGAAATTGCGGGAACAAGTGCAAAACAAAACCGGAGAATCCAAGGATCAGAATGAAAAATTACCAAAGTCAGTAAAATTGATTACAATTTTGTATATTTTATTAAAATTTTAATTTAACTGTCAGGCCTGTCTTCCGGAGCTATAAACCTCAGAATGAGAACACTGACGGCGAGGTGTTGCCGCAGGAACCCACTGGAAACATAGAATCCGCCGTCGAGGGTCAGCTGGATCTTCTCCAGCAGCCTATGGTAATCGACGAGATAGATATTACCAATCTGGCGCCCCGCAAACCTGATTGGGATCTCAAGCGCGATGCCAGCAAGAAATTGGAACGCTTGGAGCGTCGTACTCAAAAGGCTATTGCCGAGCTCATTCGGGAAAGGCTGAAACACAACCAAATCGAGGACATCAGCCAGGCGGTAAATGTAGGCACGGCCCATGCGGGTGAAAACACTGGAGAGGATTATGACTAGAGCCGAACAATACAACTACTTTTACTGAACTTGTACAAAACGAGAATAAATTAACAATAAGTAAAACTATCGGCGATTTTCCTTGCCGGTGGGTATGTTTAATCGTTCTTTTAGTGTGAGTATCTCTGAAATTGTAAAATGGTAGATATTGGAAATAATTTTCATGAAATTGTAAATTATAGACTTACGTTTGGAATATTTCTGCTCAAGGCCTTGGGCAAATTGCCGCATAGTTTGCAGTTGCTGTGGAATTTCTTCCCTTAGCTTTTCGATTGTTATTCGAGCCTGTCGAAGTTCATCTTCCCTCAAAACCAACAGTTTTTCTTTTTCCTGGACAGCTTTCTCCTGCTGCAGTGCTACTTCAGTGCGCCAGGCTATGGTCTTCTTGTGGTTGACTAGTTCCTGGGTCTGCTTCAGTATAATCTGATTTGCTTTGGAAATTTCTTCGGAAGCCATTTCTAGAGCTTGTCGCTTCGTGTTGAGAATTTTTTTCTCAGCTTCAAGCTCCGCGGCAATATTAGCCTAGGAAAAAAAGTTAAAACAACTGATATGTGGATTTCTTTATAGTTAAATACCTTTTCTTTATTTCCCTTTTGTATGTTTTCCTGGAGTTCTGATGTGTGCTGTTTAAGGTCCTCGATTTTGTACTCCAACTTACGCTCCTGCTTCCTAGCATTAAGAATATCTACCTGTAGTTTGTCATTCTGATCTTTTAAAGTTCCGATTCTGGACTGGCACGAGGATAATTCATCACCCAGAGCTTGACAGCGCTTTTCGGTCTGTTCTTGGAGATTTTTGAGATCATTTTTGTCGAGTGTGGCCTTTTCCAGCTGAGACTGTAGACCTGATATAGCTCGACGATTTCTTTCAAGTTCATTACTGCGCTGTTCGTTCACTTTTGATACCTTTTCCTGCCATTGTTGAATCTCTGTGGCATGCTTTTCCTCGAGAACTCGGGTGTTTTCCGACAATGCTTCCCTTAATTGACTGTTTTCGGTACTCAACCGTTCCATATGGGACCGTTGGGAGTTAATTTCCACCTGAAGTTGCTGCATATTCTGCTCTAGCAAGAACTGTTTTTTGTTAGAAGCATCCAGCATGATGTTTATGTAGAATAACACTGTATTCAAAGGAGCTGATCGGCATGGTAGACACAGGTGAACTAGGTTTTTGAAGGATCGAATTTCTACAAACTGTAGGTGATAATCGTTGGATTGACCGGCACTTCCAGCAGATGCGTTTTGATCCCTGGCTGATAAATGGAGCTCTAGTTTTCCGGATTGGCAATCCTTTAGCATACGCACCACATTCTCCATGAACCCTGCAAAGGTCACATTCAGCGATTGATCCTGTTTTAGTTCATTAAAGGAGGTGCTGTCCACAGTGGTGATATACATTCGACGCTGGTCAGCTTTCTCTGCTAGGCGTAGTTGCTGTTCATAAAAGGAAAACAATAGGTTAGTTATAGCCAATAAATATCCTTATAAGAATAACTCACTATAAGCTCTTTAAAATCCATTCGCTCTGCGTACAGTAAACAAGCCCGCTTGTTAGGTCGCATCATTTCGCCCCTAAAACAAACCAACATCTCGGCGCTGGGAAGAATATTGACGACATTCTTACTGTATTCCATATTTGCAAAATAGCTGTCTTCGGAGGCTGGCGCCCACATTTTTATTAAACCGGGCGATTTTTGTCAATATTTTTTAAATTTCAAAAGTAAACAAAGCCAATTCGATGGACTTTTGGTTGATCGATAACATTAGCAGCTCGAGATGGTTCCTTATGCGTCATCGGTATTTTGGAAACTTGAAACGATGGCCACCTTAAAAGCAAATGTCAGGTGCCCATCTCTATGTTAATAAAATAGAAAGAAAAAAAATACAGCAAAACATATAGAGAAAAATAAATACATGTCTACTGTACGTAAGAGTTTAATATAAGGGCTTAGTTTAGAGTCCGAGAATCCTTATCCTAATCCTCCCCTGAAATGCATTCAAAATTCCAAGCAGACGATGAAGATGGTTTCGTTGGCAGCCGGCTGAAAACTGAACAAAAATAAAAAAAAAAGTCGAAACATAATTTTTAATTTGCATATTCGCAGACCGCGAAGGTGTTCGTGGGCAGCCTGCCTCCCGGCTGCAAGCCGGAGGAGCTACGTCGCCTTTTTTCCAACTATGGATCCGTCGTAGAGTGCGACGTGATGAACCGCTGTGCCTTTGTCCACTTGGCCAACATGGATATGGCAGACGCGGCCATCTCGGCGCTCAATGGCACGAATTTTAAAGGTCAGAACATAGTCGTAGAGGCAGGCAGACCGAAATACGGTAATGGTCCCAGGAATGGGGGTGGTGGTCGACCCTCAGAGGGTAAGTATTTTTAGCATTGCTATTCCAATCACCATAACGAATTGTTTTCAGGTCCCACCGGCAGCCCAAATAAAAGATCCAACGACACTGGAAACAACTTCAAGCGTAACAATTATCGCGAGGAAGGTGGCAGTCGCTTTTCCGGGGGAAACAAATTCAACAAGCCTAATGAGTTTGGACCAATGCGTAAGGAAGCTAACTACAGGCAGGAGCGGAGTGCACCCTACAGCAAAGGACCATCACATCCCAGCCAAAGCAAGGAGGGATTTAGGAACAACAAATTCGCCTCTGGAGACAATACCACAAAATTCGGCGAGGGAAATCGTTTTGGCAACAACCGTTTCCAGCAGCAGAGGGACCAAAACGGCAGCAGGGGATTTAGCAATATCAGCAAGGGTCCGCAAACTGGCAGAAGACCTAACTTTAAAAATAGCCCGACAAGTGGCTACGGAGGTGGTGGCAGTCAAAGTGACTACCCTACTGGTAGTTCAGGCGGAGGAAGCAACGGAGGCAGTCGGGGACCAGGCAGCAATGTTCGGCAAGATCGACGTGGCTTTGCGTTGCCAGTGGAACATCAGCATCAAGGTTTCAATCGCTTCGCTAATGGACCAATGAATTCAGGAAATAGAGGCGATGCTGGGTCAAATGGGTATGTTTGCTCTCGGCTAAACCAGATTTAACCAGTACCATTAATTTGTTATTTAATTTTTAAGGCTAAGTCCACATGGTGGGCGGGGATTTTTCAATGGGGGCGGGGGAATGAATGGCAGACGTGGTAGCAATGGACCACTTGGCAACGAATACAACAACCAAGAAGGAGGTATGGGATCGAGTAAACGCGGTGGTGGCGGAGGAAATGGTCACTTGAATGGCCTGCAAGCATATCACACGGAGTTTCCTCCTTTGGGCGGCGGTGGTGGGTCTAATGGCCCTTCACAGCGGAATCGGTAAGTATAGAAGAGTACTGACATAAGTCTATGGATATATAATGAGCATCTTCTCTTTGCAGTTTCAACGGACCGCGACCTGGGCCTAATATGGGTGGAAATAGAAGATTTTGAAGCAAGTGCTGCACTACGCAGTCCCTACTTGCAGTTGGCCACTCCTTGTGAACTCCAATTAATATTGTAATAGCCGAATTTTGTTTTCCATTGTTTCGAGCCCCGAATCTTTTAGTAAAACCGACCGGTACATTTTTTTATTTGTCCTATAGCCGTACTTTTAAGACCAAGATCAACAGTATATTTGTTATTTGTAGTTAAGATTGTTTCAATATTTAATGCAATACTTAAATAATCATATTACGTGTGTGCAACTAGAAACGAAGAGTCAATCAATACAAATCTTAAATACCAAAAATATAACTGTTGTTTTTTTTTAAATTTGAACCGTTATGTGCTATGTTACTGTTACCAGGGTTGCGTTGAAAAGTATCGAAAGCAAAGGTGTAGTAAGGTGACGAAATAGGGGTGAAATGTTGAATATATAATAGTTTTATAAATGGGTTGCTAAAACTAGTTTCGTAGGAAACAACTTAAAAAGATTTTCCACATTTAGATACAACTTAATTAAACCCCCTAATAAAATCTTGCTTACGCCACTGCTCAAAACTATCGGTATCGGGCCAACAAAGAGAGCAATATTGCCAAAATTATAAACAAGGAAGTATGACAATTGTTTAAACTTCAATTTGGCGCAGGTGTATATATGAAAACCATAGACGAGTAGATCGACAGTTGTACGGTTGAGGTAAGCCCAACCAGCCTCGGAGTTACTCCACTTCCACTCAATATAACGCAAAACCATCGCAACTGCTTAACATATGTTTTCCCGCTGGTTGCTTTCAAGTTTGGCTCAGAAAATGTGGCACTACATCCACCAGCGTTGGCTGATTTCCCTCACCGTCATTTGCCTGCTATTGGTCGGACTGGGAAATGCCCTGCACACATACGCCAATCCTGAAGGTCAGGTGCCAGATATGTTGGCCACATTGCCAGGCCAGCTTAAGTTCGTGCATGTGGTAAGAGCCAGTGGTTATTGTTGTTATTGTTTCGAGCATACCATTTTATCAAGGTTCAAACGTGTTTCTCTTTAAGATATATCGCCACGGCGACAGAACGCCCGTTGATCCGTATCCAACGGATCCGTGGAACAATCGGAAGTATTGGTCCACTGGCTGGGGACAATTGACAAATGTAAGTAATTTTTGTTATCACCTTCGCAGATATTACTAGATAGCAGGTGTCTTAACAAACTTATAGAACTCTAATCAGTCTTGTTTGTTTATCAGTATTGCGGTGTTATAAAGTATTTAGACAAAGACTGTTTATTTAAAGATAAAAGCAATGTTTATGATGAGCAATTCATGGGTTTTAAAAAGTTTCTGTATCCAAAAATTAAATTTCAAATTAAAAGTATTCAGCTAAAAGATTGAACATTTGTGATTAGCCTGTTTGAACCGCTTCTACTCATACATGTAAACAATTTGTAATCAGTTGCTTACAACTTTACTCAATATATTTACTCATTCTTTATTGTTTATTTAAAAAACACATCTATGCCTTATCACAACCTTTTTTTAATATTATTTAGCTGGGAAAGCAAGAGCACTATGAGCTGGGAAAATGGCTTCGCAATCGATACTCTTCCATCCTTAACACAAGGTACTCCAACGAGAATATCTTTGTGCAATCCACTGATGTGGATCGCACTTTGATGAGCGCTCAGTCAAACCTAGCGGGCTTGTTCGAGCCTCAGGGCGACGATGTTTGGAATCCAGAGATTAAATGGCAACCCATTCCTGTTCACACAATACCCGAGAAGGATGATTCCATTTTGGCCGCCAAGGCTCCGTGTCCAGCCTATGACTACGAGTTGGACAAACTGGAATCGTCGACAGAGTTCAAGGACCTGACTAAACACTATCAAGATCTCTTTGCCTACTTGGGCGAAAAAAGCGGACGCCCTGTAAAGACCTTCACTGATGCTCAGTACTTGAATAACACACTTTTTATTGAGAATCTCTACAACCTCACATTGCCGGGTTGGACGGATAAGGTTTTCGGGCATGAAGAGCTGACATATGCGGCGAATTTTGCATTTAGTATTGGAACTTATACACGAAAGCTGGCCAGGTTAAAGGTGGGTCCTTTGCTGAAGGATATATTCCATCGCTTTGAGGACAAAGCTTCGGGGCGTCTGGATCCAGATCGCTCTATGTGGGTGTATAGCGCTCACGATACAACTGTAGCTAACGTCTTGAATGCCCTTAAGCTATTTGAAGTGAGTTCTTTTGTTTATCTTTAAAAATTTTTAGCTTCTTAACTTAAGTGTCTCTTTAACAGCTTCATAGTCCGCCTTATGTGGCCTGCATAATGCTGGAGTTACGTGTGGATAATAGCAATACTCCCTTGGTGTCGGTTTTCTATAAGAATACCACCGCCGAACCTCAAGCACTGGATATTCCCGGATGCGGTGTGTCCTGCCCACTGAAAAAACTAGTCAAAATCTATCAAGATGTATTGCCCGAGGACTGGGAACGGGAATGCAGACGCTCCACCATGATGATGACCTACGAGGAGGCTAATTTAGGAAAGGCGACAGGTTAATTTTACCTTAAATTTCCTTTGGTGATCTGATTGTAATTTTCTTGTACTTCAATAGGTATCCTAATTTTAATTATCATGATTCTTATGTGTGCCAGTTACGCATTGATGATTTACTACCGTCGTCGAAACTACAAGCTGTATACTCCGTACTCGCAAATGGCTTAAACGCTGACTAACAGATGGATGATCCGGAAGACTAAATATTATATCTCAGAATTTAAAGCCTGCATCGGCCGGGCTTATACTTGCCAACGTGAATTGTTTTCCCATTCGCATTTTCTCCTTTTTTGAGTGACGATGTTGTTTGTTGTTGTTACTCAGTTAACTCGGTTAAGTTGTGCATTTAGTTCACAAAAATCCTTTTGGTTGTATTATAATTAGTATAATAGTTAAACCCAAGTTTGTTGGCATTTAAATGGAATAACTGCTACGTTGTTATTCAGTGAAAGAAATGGAATATAAAGACTGTGACAGGCGATCTTGAAGTTGCATATATATATATACATATATTCATATATATACATACATATATATTTACACGCATTTATACATACACATTTTTTATGAATCCACCTTGAATGAAAAAATTTACTGTATTAAAAAAAGCTCAAATCCAACCGAATCAGTTGTTTAAATATTTGTGGCTAAAGCGGCATTTCCAATATTGAAATAACGTTTTTCCTTTTGTTTAGATTATACTAGATTTGTTTATTCCGCATACGCGACTTTGCTTGCACTTAATTATGTTAGATATAGTAGATATAGTAAGGGTTACAGTTAGTGTGATTTTAAATCTCTATATACAACGTTGGCTGAGAGTGGCGATAATGTAGAACCTGTTTGGTGGCACGAAGCCTGACTGACTGAGACTGAGACTGGAAATGCAGAGATGTGGTGGAGGGAGAGTGGGAAAGATGAAGCTGCCACTGGAGGACGCTATGGCTTATCTGTAGGCCTTGTCATCCGAATATATGATATAGGGCTGGTGCTGATGCTGTTGATGGTGGGATAGGCTGTCGGCTCCGTCAGCACCGTTTCCTCCCGCTCCGCCGCCCGCTCCGCTGAAGTAAGACATCCGCGACATGGTCGAATACGCCGCTGCCGCTGCCGCCGCTTGCTGCTGCTGTTGCTGGTGTTGCTGCTGCTGCTGGCGCTGGGAGAGATTCTGGCTGGACTGGTGGATGGAGGCCGCCTTGTGCGGGAGCGTTGCATAACTGGCCTGGTAAGGTGGCACTGCATACAGAGCTGCTCCGCCTCCATTCTTGTAATTATAAGCTGCATTGTGGGCCCCAAGTTGCATGCCCGCTGGTATGCCAATCATGGCAGCATTCTGCTGGTACTCTGCATTGCTCATCCTCAACCGAATGATGCAAATGATAATTATCAATATGGCTATGAAGGCCACCACTCCACCCACAATGCCTATGATCAGTGTATCGTCGTTGCTCATTATCGGAGATTGGGCCTTCATTAGAGGCGCTTTGGTCTTGATCTTCTTGAGGGTTGGTGGCTGGGTGGGCTCTAAGCTCCAAATAATGAGAGGCTCTTCGGTGGTGGAACTACTCCGTGTCACCAACTGGCTGGAGGTCTTCAATAGATGTGGCATGGTGGCTGAAGTGGGTCGGGAAGTGGACGAAGTCATCCTCCTAGCATCGCAAGTGAGTTCATCATCGCCGACTTCGATGAGTTTCCGGTTGGCGAGGTATGCTGGCGCCTGGCAGGTGACATCCGGCATTCCAGAATTGGGCAACCAACGGCGCAGAGCTCTGGCATTGCAGTCGCACACAATGGGGTTACTGCCCAATCCGCGAAGCTGCAGGCTCGCTCTTCGATCCTCTAGAGCATTCAGGAATTGAGGCACCAAAACTGTGATCTTGGAACCCTCCACATCAAGGTTAAGGTGGGAGGATCGAGGCACTGGGAACAGCAGTGCTGGGGGCAGGGCACTGAGAGAAGTGTTCCTTAGTTGGACGCTCAAGTCACTGCTCTTCAAGCCGGCTAATGTTCCTGATGATATCGACTTTAATCTTTCTCCGCGGATTCCCAAACTCTTAAGGCGCGGATGCTTAAGGGGTTGGATCTGCTCACTGCCAATGCTAGAGTCCTTTACCTCTATGTCCAACGTCTCCAGTCCAGGCAGGAGTTCCAGAATACCCTGCAGGTCCAGATAGCCTAACAAGGGAAGGTCAAACGCCTCCAAGTTAATCAGATTCGCTAGCGGTTTGAAGGAGTTCTTCTCGATCCTGCTGCACTGCGGAAGATGGCTTAATCGCAAGGACCGCAACGTCTGTAAATGAGCGAAGTTCGACTGGGTAATGATATCGAAGCTATTGTTGGACACGTCCAGGGATTGCAGTACTTGAAGTTGAGGCCAAGCACCGGAAATATCGTCCAAGGACATTAATTCGTTGCTGGACAAATCCAACGTTTCCAGGAGCGTTACTCTTTGGAATACCTCCGGTTTCACGTTTTTCAACTTGTTGTGCGAGAGATTGAGGTATTGCAGGAAAGGTGTCTCGAGGAGTTCCAGTTCCTCAATTCCCGTACCAGCCAGGTTGAGTTCTCTGACCGTTTTGGGTTCATTCAGGACATTATGAACTGCCTGCTTTGTCAAAGGATTGAATGATAGATCTATTCTCTTGATGTTAACCATGATACTATCGTCCCCGGGCAACTCCTTGATCCGGTTGTGACTCAAGTCCACGGAGGACACAAAGAAGAACTGCCGCTGGAGGGCATTCAATGGAGCATATTCAAATCGGTTATTAGCCAGGTTAACATTCTCCAGCATCTGAAGCTTGGAACGCTCGAAAACGCCATCTGAGAGCTCTGTCAAGCGATTTCCTTCCAGATTCAACTGCTCCAATCGAATCAATCCCTCGAAGGTTCGTTCTCCAACTCTGTCCAGGTTGTTGTTTGCCAAATCAAGGATTTGCAGCTGTGTGGAGTTGTGGAATGCCATCTCACTGACCATATCCAGCTGGTTGTTGGCAACTAACAAAACCCGCAGACGTGGCAGTCGGGCAAAGTCCAGCTCCTCAATGGTCTTCAGCTGATTGTGGGATAGATCGACGTACTCCAAATACTGCAGAGTAGTTATTAGCTCTGCCGGGAAAAAGGAGAATTTATTATTTGCAGCTTTGATCTCTCGCAGCCTCGGATGAATCCGGAATGATGAGGGAAACAGGTAGCTCAGTTGGTTATCCGAAATATCCAGTTCTTCGATACCAGTTCCTGTATTAAAATATTCGCCCTTGAAGGCCGATAGTTGGTTTCCACGCAGACTTAACTTCTGTAGCTTCATCACATTCACAAATGCTCCAGTACGGATCGATGCAATGCGATTGTTGGACAAATCTATGGAGCTTATGTTCCACAAGTTGACGAAGCTGCCATCCTGCAACTCTTGGAGTTGATTGTCGTTCAGATGAATGTGCTTTAGATCCTGGAGGCCAGCGAAAAGATCGCCGCTTAGCTGGCGAATATTGCAGCGACTTAGATCAATGACTTGCAGTCGATCCAAGGGCTTCAGCAGGGCTCCAGTCAGGGGACTCAGATGATTACCACTCAAATTTAGGGACTGCAAAGTTTCCAAGTCGTCAAAGATATTGTTGGGCAGCTCTGTCAGGCTATTGCCACTCAGGTCCAGACTCCTCAGCTCCGGCAGGACCCATGGAGTACCACCCAGACCAGTCAATCTGTTTTGAGACAGCTTCAGTGCCATCAGTGTGCTCTCCAATCCTGCGAAGGTATCTGCATTGATCACGGCCAAGGAGTTACCCGAAAGATCCAGGGTGTGCAGACTGCTGAACATCTGGAAGCTGCCGGGCGGCAGTTCTCGGATGACATTCCGGGACAGTGACAATGTTGTAATGTCGCCGGCCTGCAGGGATCCAAGAATCTCTGCGGAGAGAGCAGCCACGCGGTTAAAGTCAAGATGCAGGGAAGTCAGTTGGGGTAAACGACCCAGAGCACTTCCAGGCACCAAGAGTATATTATTATCTTTTATGATGAGGGTTTGCAAGCTATCCAATCCCTCCAAGGCATCATCTTCGATCTGTTCGAGTAGAAATATGAGTATCAAATCAATAACTACATAAATAATACCCTACCGTTCTTAAAGAATTGAGGCTGATATCCAAATACTTCAGAGAATTCATTTCCCGGAAGGTGCCAGGAGTAATGCTGGTTATAGTGTTGCGACTTATGTCCAAGGTTTCCAAAGCTCTTACCACCTGCATGTTGGAATAGTCTAATTGCTGTAGGGAGAACATTGTTAAGTTATGAATCCTCTTTTAATCGATTTGTAAATCCCAAACCTGTAGCATATTTGAGGACAAATTAAGATGCTTCAGAGAAGGAACTGCCGCCAGAGCAACCACTGGAAATTGGTTGAAGAAGTTCTCCGACAAGTCCAGTTTCTGCAGAGATTGGAGTTGTTCAAAAACATCGCTATTCAGGTGACTGATGCGATTTCCCGCCAGTTTGATTTCCCGAATCTTTTGAAGACCCTTGAAAGCCTGACTGTCAATAGAACGGATAAAATTGTGACGAAGATCAATGATCTCCAATTGGCGCTGAGCACTGAAGGAGTCCGGAAAAAGCGCAACTATAAGTAAAGAAAACATTTTTTGTACCATTTAAACAATTATGTTAAACTCAGTCAAGTTTACCAATATGATTTTGGCGCAAAGAGAGATGCCTCAGGGCACTGGGTCCGTTTAAAGAATTCGTTGGTACTGCCGTCAAGCTATTCCGATCTATGTAGAACTCCCTTAAATCCATGCAGCCCTTCAGAACACCTTCTTCGATTTGCTTTATCTTGTTTCCTGACAAGTCCAGGATGCGAAGATTTTTTAAAACATGCAGTTCGGCGGTGGAGAAGATCGGGTTAAGATTATCGCCCAACAAATTATTAGCCAATCGCAGTTCGTTCAATGAATCCTTAAGACCATCAAAGGCTTTTTCGGGGATTCTTCGAATTAAGTTGTTGGAAAGATCCAGCTCCTCAATGGTTAGCTTGAGTTGGCCAAAGGTCTATGATAATAAAGAAAGTTATTAATATTAAAGTAAATGTTTAAATAAATAAGTAATATTAAAATCGTAGAGAAAGATCTGTCGTGAATATTTCTTTAATGCTTTCTGTTTATACACAAGTACTTCAGCTCTTAATTTTATGAATATAAATATCTCTACTTTCTAATTTCAAGAGAAAATTAGTTATAACAAGACCTTTGAAATTTATTTTCTACCTTCCGTTTATTTTTGGAAACTCACCTGGGAGGGTAGCACCTGTTGTCCGGAATAGCGTTGCGTATACGCCACGATGGGCGCTCCGTACGGAAGCTGGGGGGCATCGCCGTGAAAGACGACGCGATCACAATCCATGGCCACGGCTCCGAGCTGGCCAGTCGCCGCGAAAGGCACCACGTTGCACCTGTAATTGTCGCCAGTCGGTCATTTGGTTGCGGTGATTAACAACAAACAATGCCAAATTGCAATTTGCTGCAATTTTCTGATATTAAAATAATACCCGACAGGCGGAAACCCGCTGTCGTTGTGGCTGTCGTTGTCTTTGGCATTGCGGCCTCCACCTATTGGTTGATTAGTGACCGTATGGTTACTCACCTGCACGGCAGTCGCAGGGCGGGACTGAGCTCCGGACACGGGCGCCAGGCCAGGCTCTGGTGGGTTAAATTGAAGACCAGTGCGAGCAGCAGAAGGAGTATCCGCATCCGCCCCCCATTTGGCAGCTGTTTCCACGCTTCCATTTCGCTGCAATGGAAGAATGGCATTTCTATAGAGTGCTATGTTTCTGGCCCGATCGGTTTTGGTATTGGCGCTTGGTGGATATATTGGAGAAACTTGTTTTCGAGAAGAGATCTGTGTTTTTGCCGTCCACGCAGCTGCCACGCTCGAAGGTATCTCGTATATCGTATTTGGACATTTCCTCTTTATCGCTTTGTTTCGCTCAGAACATTTGATTTGCATACCAATGTTTCTAACCCGGGCCGCATATTTGTGTCCAACAGTAATGGCTACAAAACCAACAATAACATCAACCAAAAACCAAGGCCCGATCGAAAGAATGAAGGCTATAATAAAGTCGGTGGACTAACAAAGAGCACCGACTGCGACTGCCTACGAGTGGTATGAGTAATTTTTTTGGTCACGCTGACATACTGGAGGCATTTATGACAGTCTAATTTAATAATAACACCGAACGGTGTCAAAGAAATCTTCTCTAAACGATTTCGAAACAAATGTCAAGTCCCGGGGTCTCAGCAATATTATGCAGTTGATGGGGAGAGGCCCCAGGTGATGCTAAAATATCTGTTTAACATAGCAGGTGATTCAAAAATTCGAGTCTCGGGTTTCAAATATTGATACTTTGAATATCTAGATGTTAAATAAATTATTTTATAATCTATACATCGTCTTTCGAAAATTTCATTTAATATAGTGTAACAAAAATTCACAAAAATGGAATGGTTCGAAGAGATATGATAATTCCAAATTTAAACAAGAAGAAAATATAGTCTAGAAGAAAAATATACAAAATATCCTAATCAATTTTTGATAAAAAATTTTAATACTAAAATCATATGATCCATTAGGTCTAAGCTTGAGAATTCTCAAGTTCGTCTATTCTTGATATAATAAAGGTTAAATATAGATATCATTTAAAAACTTTTCTCGATTCATATATTCCAACTTCCACTCTTTCATTTCTTTTCGTCTTTAAGATCTATTTATAATGCAATACTTCTTTATTCTTGTGCACTAATCAACCTATTTTTTCTGTGAGTAATTCTCCTATAGAATTCTTCTGCAGCGCCTGAGTGATTCGTGGAGCCGCGTTCTCTTTTTTCCCCCAGTTACCCCCGACGTTGGACCTGGATTCTTGATTCTCACTCTCGCAGCATTAGCAGTACCGTTGCTAGAGTTTTTGTTGTTTGTAGACGGGTTGGTGGTTGTGTTGTTAGCTGTTTGCTGTTGTTGGCCATGTTCAATGGTTACTGTTTGCTTTTTAATGCGCACTGACACCAAAACCAAAAAAATAAAACCCAAGAAATACTTTTACGTCTGGCTGTATTTTTATTTGCATTATTATCGCTTCGGGTTTGGCGTTATTTGTGCTATTTACTCTGCGGTCCATGGGCTTGCGAGAAAGGTATTTGGCCAGTTTATTTTCGAAACTGCGAACCGACTGGGCCCAAACCGAGTGTTTGCCCAAAGATCTGAGATATCCACGAAAACAGACAAACAACTAAGTTAACAACGTATGTAAATTTATAATGTCCATAAAACGACTCAGGAGTCGGGACGGGGGGCACTGGATTTCAAAATCTCGCCGAAATGGCTTTTACACTTGGCTCTTCTGCTCATTGAAATGCATACGCCATATGCGATTCGATATTGTGGACAGACGACCACGGCAACGGCTTCAAGGTTGCCTGGCCACATGAAATGGGACGGCATGGGATGGGATTCAATTCGATCCGATTCGATCGGATCCACTTCTTGTTTCACACACCAAGATACACAGCTTCAGATACAGATACACAGATACGAATACAGCTAACAGATACGCGTCTACAGATACAGATACATTGTCACAGTTGCGTGTAAACGTTTTTTGATGGGAAATATGTTAATCACACATCTTGGTTTTTCTCTTCTGGTAACCTGTTTCATTATATTTTGATTTATACTTTTGGCTTACATTTCTTGTTTTTGTTGTTGTTAGTGCTGTTGTTTTTTTTTGGTAGCTTGTAAAATTGCACTTCAGATTGTGGTGGCTTGGGAAACTCTTTTGTTTGCTAGCCAGATTATTGCACAAGCGCGTTGGCTTTGGCTTTGGCTTGGGCTTGTTTGCGTTTGTTTTTGCCCAGTTCTCTTTTGTTATACACAAAAAGAAAGCTCCGCTCCAAGAATGTTTTCCCAGGGAGATGGTGATGGAAAGAGCGTTTCTTTCGCACACACACTACACGGCACTTACACACAAACAGGTAGGCCCCGGGAAAAATGCAGACAAACAACTAAACTTTACGATCGAGGTGGTACTCGATGGGCGACTCGGGGCGATCGGTAGTAATTAAGCCGAGCTACCACAACAAGTACAAGCTGTCTGCGCATGCGCAGCGGTAACAATTTCGCAGCTTTTCGTTTTCGAACTGCGTTCTCCGCCGCCGGTTGCGGTCGAAACGGTTAAGATCGGAAGTGTATCGGTTAGATTCGCGCCTCTGTTGCACTTTCTACAGGTCCGCTCCAGCCGAGCGCCGCAACTCAACTGAAGCTGGCCAAAAGTCAGGCAACCTAGGCTTCGGTTTGGGCCAGCTTCAGCTCTCTGCTGGAGCTGCTCTGCAGGTGAAACTGGTTTACTTGGATGCACGCTAAAAAATTGGGGTAGTTTCTTTAAAACCATTACAATTTTCTCACATTCTTCAACTCAAAAGCAACAAATGGAAATTATTATAAGGATGATCATAAGTTAAGATGTCCTTAACTCTACCTTTCTTATGCAGGAGATCCCCTTCTTATTTCTCTCTCTGCATAGATCTAAAAAGATCCACGGTTGTACTAAAAATCCCAGACCTGCCTCCAAGATGCAGATGCTCTCTTTTGGCCAAGAGACAGCGGACCAGCTTCGTGAATGAGTTTACATTGTCCGACTTTGTTTTCTTTTGTGGCTTGATGGTGTTGTTGTGCGGGGTAAAAGTTGTAGCCCGCGCTGTTCTTCGCAGAAAGTTGGGGCTTCTTTCGGCTTCTACTTTTGCTGGCCCTTGTTTTCTTCTCTACCTGTTTTCTTCGATCTTCGCAGCCGATTGGCAAGTGCGCCAATTCAGCTAATGGGGTTAAGCCTTCAATAGAGCCCGCCGAACCGAACAAAGTGACAATATAACGCCAACAAGAGGCAACAAGAGTTACTTTCCTTGTCGCAAATTGTTTGGCGTGGCAACTAATTACCCGAAGTCGGAGAAATGCGCGAGATGAATGATGTTTAATGATGATCAACCAGGCACGCACACACATCATTGTCGAGGTTGTTCACACCGCCAGACCCCAAGCAAGTACAAGTGTGTACCCTGTTCAGTGTTTACTGTACTCCTAGTCCAAGTTAAAGTCCAAGACCGAATATTAAGACAGGTAACTAAGCAGGCAGCTACATAGGTATGTGGTTATAATTTTTATGTTTAGGCATGCATGTTAACATTAACATCTCAGTGGGCCGCAATTTCTTTTCTTTCTTTCGCGCGAGCCATATACTTTCCATTTTCATGAGCAAGTGCTCCACAAATGGCAGCAAGATAAAACACACATAACATAATAATGAAAATCGAGCCTGAAATAAAGAGTGAAACACTTGGAGAAACACCTTTGCCAAGAATACATAATAATGTGGATACAAGAAGGTTCCAAAAATGGGTCATACTTTCATTTTTAGATGGTATAGGTGATCACAAACTAAGAGATACATTCCAAGCTATTTCTTGAAATGATATGTCAAATTCTTTATTGTCTAAAAACTTTCGCTTCAAATGTTATAAATATTTTTTTTTTATTTTTGTCCAAAAGTAGAATCTGTAGCTTTATTCTTCAAGTGCATCAGCAGCCCTGACGTGATGCATGCCATGTCTAACCATATAAATCAAATCGTTCAGCTGATAAATTGTGTCTAAGCTCAACACTTGACTGGCTCCAGCTCCGTCTGCAATCTTATGGTTTATGTTTTGTGAAAACGCCGCTCCACCCAGTCCACCCATTTATATGTACATATAACAGACCCAAGTAGCTCCCAAAAAAATGAAAATATTTTAAACAGCCTTTGGCCCAGTTTTGAACCACACTCACGACTGTTGCTTCCATCTGCATAAATGCAAATTATGAAAAATGAGTTATGTCAAATGGTCTCAGCTGTGGTACACTTGGAAAATGTTTACCATCTGACAGGCTTTGATATTATTTAAATACAAGTTATAACAAGGCTCAAGCAATTTTATTCATTAAGAACATAAGCTATGGATTCATTTTCAGTCCTTTATGATTTATTCCCTTTTGAAGTTTACTTTTGTTGACCTGTTTTTAATATGTTTGAGGTTTTTTTTTTTAATTTCTATAAACAAACCGACAAATGCAGTCTTTAGTTCAGCTCACTAACTGCTAATAGTATTCATGATGTTTAATTAACTCTGCATAATTGCTTTCCGTTTTATATTCCCTTTGGGTGAACTCATTCATATGCAAATTTTAATTCAAACATACATTCAACACTCATTAACTATTATGGTTTTGGCAAGCCGATGAAAAGTTAACTGGCGGGGAAATAGCATGTCAGCTCAATGCATACGAAATGTATCTACTTTTCAATTCCAATAAAGATTAATGTCTTCGTATACAGGCCATAAATTATTGTTTAGATCCGACACACACTCACGTGTATTGAATGACCCACTAGGGAGAGCCATGTAAAGTGGGTGGTGGGCTATATTGGCGAAGCCGAAGCTAATCAATTATAGAAACGCCTCTTCCCATGCAGGGCACAACCAAACATCCGAACAGCCAAACAGAGCGGAATAGTATGTCAACATAATAAGGACAGTGTCCTGGCATCCCCCATGTCGTGTTCCCATTTTATTTTCCCCTTCCTGTTGCGGTTGCCAGTGCGGCATTGTGGTATTATGTTGGGAAAGAGGTTTCCAGCAAGGCGCTGGGAAAATGGGAGATGATAGAAAATAAAAAGAATATTTAATTCAATTATTACTAAGGAAATATGGCTCCTGCATAAGACTAAATTAAGGGCCTGCTAAACTGCATCTTATGAGAATCGAGGAGGAGGGCGATATTTCTTTATTAATTATTTTTAAATATATAATTGAATATTATTGTATTACAGATTTATAATTTATAACGACCATGTTTTCCTTTAGATATTTCTATTAGACGAACCGATGGACATGCTTATATCGATTCAGGAGGTGATTTTAATCAGGAATATCTATATATATACTTTATATTGACATTTTATACTATGTAAAATACCCTGTGCAAGGGTATAAAAACCCACTTTCATGGCCAAAATTTAGCATAGCTCGTTCATCACAATGGGCGATGGGCCAACTGGGATTAGTCTGCCCCTTTTCCGGATTTTTATTTTGATAAATTATTTAAACGCACAACTTGTGGCATTCGGCAGCAGTTATTGTTGCTGCTGGACTCATATTTAATGTCAGACTATGTTGGTTCAGGATGACCGAACAGGACGGGCAGGAAAGGACAGTGGAGGACAAGCGCTGCCACTGGCCAGGATTGGAGACGATAGGCCGGACAGGATATTCAATCAAATTAGACGCCGAGTGACAGTAAACACAATCATGAGCCCGGTCCGGCCCTGGAGTTCTCGGTTATTGATCAAGTTCCTCGACGGAAAACAGTCCTGAAAGGCAGAGCTTACATTTATCGTCATTCACTTTAATTCGAGTGTTTATCTTAGACGCTTAAATTTATTTTCGGAATGTGTATCATTGTGCTCGTCGCTCACGCCATTAGGTACTCGACATTTCGTGTTGGAATAATTCTATGCAAACAATGAAGGCAATGAAATGTCTATTCCAGGAACGCCTTTTTATTATACGCCGTTCTCCTCCAGGTGAACGGCCATTTATGAAATTACATTTATTTCAATTGCATTTCGGTTTGAATTTGATCCCGTATTCAAATTGGATATATATACGTTTATATAGCTGTTAACCCATTGCCGCTGCCGCTGCCACTGCCACTGACACTTTCGCATAAAAATTCACAAAGCGGATAGCTGAGCTATTTTGGGACGCACACTCTGCCCGGCGGCAATCGACTTTACGGCCGAGTTGTTTTAGCCAGAAAGTTTGCAATAACGAGCTTTGGCCGGCCTTTAGCAAGCACTACCTACCAGACTCCCGGCGCAGCAACCTTACACCGAGCCACAGCAAGTATACGCAGTGGTGGCCCGAACAGGTTGCGAACAGGCCTTTGAGATGTTAAACAAAAAAAGTCAAAGCCCATGGAAGCATGCAGGTGTAAGACAGGTGCCTGGCAGCAGTAGGAGATGCAGTTAACGGTAAACGAGTCAGAGATCCCAAGCAATCAAGTGTGTTAATTGCACCATAATTGGTCAGACAGGCAGTCAATAACAGCCACAGACATGGCACTGTCAGAGCCAACGCCGGAAACTGCAACAACGCTAAGAAAAAAAGAGTTTTAAATAATTAAAACCTATTATAGGTTTTTAAATTATTTAATACCTGACAGGTCATTAAAGGATACAGAGGAAACTGTGCCATTTTAGGTATACCTATTAGTATATTTAAGTATTATTTTAAAGAAAGTCTTTTTATTCTCAGTGTTCCACACCGCCAGGTAGATGTTCAGAGTTGCGTGATTAATTCTGTTGCCTTATTGATGGATGCATGCACAAACGCAAACTCAAACTCAAAGTCATAGTCAACAGGCACCGACCCACCGGCCCAGCCTATTCAGGCTGCCCATCCTGCCCAGCCTTTCCATCCTTCCGACCTGCACAAGGCCACGGCACCTGCAATTGTGGAGGGCAATTGTGGAGAATGGAAAGGCACTCAGGTGTCATTGAGCCTATTGCACCATCAAATCTCCCACACGCAATCACTTTGATGCATTTTCACTTCATTTAAAGGACCTTAAACACAACATTAGGGTCGAAGCAATGGCTTCACGACCAAAACCCAGCTTAAGTGCGAAAATGTGGCTTGCAAATATTTAAACCAATTTCGCGTCAAGTTTGCTTAAACACATTTATCTTTTTGACGGCACTTGCGCTTTTTGGGTACACCTGAGCTGAGGGTTGTCTTCAAAATAAATAAATTAAAATGCGAAAATCCTCCAAAATATAAAAGCAAACAACTTGAACGGGACAGATAGGTAGGTATCCTGGTATCCAGGCAAAAAGGGTTCCTCCTGTCCCTGATTAGAGCAGGAGCCGGAGGGGAAGCTGGCGGGAACTGTTGGCAAGTTGGAAATTTCCGAGGCGGTTCCGCGCTTTCCAGTATTCGCAACAGTCAATTAAAACTTTTTGTGATGTTCAACAAACGAAAACGCAAACCACAAACAAAAGGCGAAATTAGTGAAAAGAGGGTAGAGGTGCTACTCACCCACCTCAAAGTCTCTCCACTTGGCATTTGCCATCCCTTCTTGCTAGGATGTACTGCGAGAAAAGCATTGATTGTTTTTCAAAGAACATTTTAAAGGTAAAAGGAAAACTTAC